GTCACTTTAGCCCTTCAAAAGACTTCATCCAACTTTACTCCCATGAGTATGGCGACGCAATATTCTGACCCCACCTATTGCAAGACTCTAAGAAAACCTTTAAAATTAAAAAAAAAATATATAATATTTTATATTCTCACGTAAAACTGATCCCTTGTTTTCGCGCCATTTTTCTCCGGAGTCTATGATTTGAATAATTCACAATCTCCACAATATGTCAGAAGGTTGGTACGTGATCAAATCTACAGAGAAGCCCTTCCGGCTTCACAGGATTCATTTTGTTAATTATAATTTAAATACATTCTTACTATTGATCCAATAAATAGAAATTTTTGTTACGATGTCAAGTTATAGTGCGCAATTATTAATACATTCTTTCCTCTAGGTGGTCGGAAGAAGAATCACAGACACTGATGGTGGATCCTAGTGGAGAGGTGTACCTGATAAGTGCAGCTAACGAAGGGCATGGAATGATCTCCCATCTCCCAGACAACGCCTGGGGAAACCCTAACCCAGTGAACATCGAGTCCACCCAGTTCCTTCCAATCCATACGAATCACCACCACGATCCAGTTTCAGGCGATATAACCACGGACGGTAGCGAACTCCTTATTAAATCAAAATCCCATGTTTTTCTCTGGGAGATTGACGGTGGTGACGTTACATGTATGATGTCACTCACTCGACGACCCGTTGAAGTTCCCTATCATAACGGAGGACGTAATGAAGCTATTTGCTGGAGTGCTGACGGTCAGAATTACTACACACTACCTGAAGGGCTTAATCCAGCACTTTACATATATTCCCGTATCAATACTGGGAACCAAGGTTTAGTTGGAAATCTTGTGGGGAAAAGATAGTAATTAAATTATATATTTTTCTAATTTTTAAGTTACCTTTCATTTGTAGTCATTACACATTCAAGAGATGTCCTTCATTTGACGTATATTTGAAAGTGTCACTTATACTCAGCTTGTCGTTTATATATATTAAAAAAGTCAAAAAAGAAATTTGATTCCTTTCGACACAAAGTGGGCAAGCGGTGTACTGCTCAAGTGTGCGTGTATAGAGAAAACAAGAGGTCTCTTTATGTATCGGTTGAAAATGACGCTGCGGAGATATTTTAAAACAGCTCATAGAGGCAAAGGGGATACATTTTCGATAACATGTAGTGCATATTAGCATATACAAATTGGAAAAAGGTGTGTAAATCCCAGATTTTAAAAGGGGGTTTCATGCCCCAAGTGCCTGTGGAAACTACTTAATGTCCTCTTTTTCCTCAATCGATTTCAAAAATTATTATTTTATAAAAACATGTGTTTTTTGGGGGAGGATGTGGTGCAGTTATGTGGGGGGTATTTGTACATTGTCCCCTTGTACTTTACTTTCCATTTGGCAACATGTTATTCATTAATGGATGGAGCCCTTCGGGCTAGTTCACATCGTAGTGGCCCGTCATGAATAAAAAGGAAAATTCGGGCGTATGAGTGTGGAAACTGCGGTCTACATTGATATACTTATCCTCATGTTTACCATTATGACAATGACAGAGTATTGGTTGACGTCTGAAAGATGGACGCAAATATCAGAAGAGAGAGAGAGAGAGAGAGCGCTTTTAACTAAAGACGAGAAACTAGTACTAGGCCATTTTGGAGGATTCAGGTGTTCTAAATTATTACACAGAGAGGTACAATATCAGACCCCTAAAAGCCATCATGAGTATCATGGCATACTCTTAGATATATTTGGACGAATATAAAGTCAAAGACAATATCTAATCCATTTTTTATTTATTGAAGTGGCCACTCGTATTCAGAAACACTCTCTCATGTTATGTTCTTTTACATTCAGAGCAAAAGCCGTTTTTGCTACTGCTTATGAGTTATATTATGTAAATCCGGCTCTTTTAAATCAGCAAAAAAGAAAATAGCTGAAAAAGCAACAAAAGCATTATATGAAGTATTAAAGAAAGAAAGATTACATAATCTATCAATACAGTGTCAACTCGATTTGTTTGATAAAATCGTTCAACCTATATTGTTATATGGATGTGAAGTGTGGGGGTTTTCAAATAATGCAGTTATAGAAAGGGTTCACCTATAATTCTGTAAAGTTTTACTCCATTTAAAAGATTCAACCCCAGATTTCATGATATATGGTGAGCTTGGTCGATACCCCATGGGAATTAAAAAAAAAACACGCATGATATCTTACTGGTCAAAATTAATTACTGGAAAGGAGACAAAAATTGCCAATTTATGCTACAAATACGGCTTTATTATAAATCAAGAAATAGGAGGGAAAATCAGCTGCTTTTAAAATATTGGAAATATTCTGAATAATTGTGGACTATCTAATATTTGGCTCGAACAAAGCTCAAATAATACAAAATGGTTCAAGGCGAAAGTTAAACTCACATTAATTGATCAATTCAAGCAAAGTTGGCAATCAACTCTTCAAACCTCACCTAAAGCATTAAATTATAGAATATACAAAGACGAATTAAAGTTTGAAAACTATCTTAATGTTTTATCATAAAAGGATTTAACTACATGTATATTTTGTAGATTCCGAACTTGTAACCATCATTTACCAATTGAAAGCGGACGCTGGCTTAATATACCAAGACATGACAGAATTTGTTCCCATTGTAATCTAAAAGAAATCGGAGATGAATTTCATTATATACTAATGTGTACTTCACTACAAAAAGAAAGAATGCTATGTTTAATAGAAAAACATAAGATTTAAGAAAATATAATTAGTTTTAAAAACATCATGAGTAGTAATAAACACTGTTTTCTGAGAAAAATGTGCTCGTTTATAAAGAAAATAAATAAAATATGCTCCCCGGCGTAGAATTCCCATGCTTCACATTTATAGCAACGTACTAATTTTGTTCTTTATGATTCACGCATGCTATTGTTATGTATTAAATCACCCATATGTTGTAAGTCTCTGTATACTATTGTAAAATGGTGAAGAGATTCAAATGAATGAATGAATGAATGATACTGCATTTTCTTTTAATTATCTGAAATAGATGAGACCAATTTGAAACATCCATTTTTTTTGTTGATTTTTCTTTAAAGGGTTTTTAATCACGTCTCAAAATTTTTGGATATGACAAAGTTTAAATACTATTAAAATCATATATTTAAAAATCTTTGATAGAAAATTAATACTTTTGATGTTTCAGTGGTTCAAAGTTTGCATTTCTCAATATGCATATTTTGATCGCCGATGTTACGCGCCATTGCTCTGACGTCATAGGTGTCAATCCTGGTCAAGCGAGGGAACTTATTGTGTATACAAAAGGGCTTATTTGTTGTGTCTATTAAACCTGTTAGAAAATAATTAAGAGATAATTGGATAATTGACAGTTAGTAAGGTATAATTTATGGCTTTAGGATGCAAAAAAGTGCACAAGAAAGGTTTCAGAAAGAAATTTTTTTCCACATTTCCTGGACTTCGAGAGATGAAAGGGGGCCTTTTTCTGCAAATGCGATGGCGTTTATCTCCATTCAGAACAATCGTTTATCGATCACGATTTTTTTCTCTCCTATATAATATTTTAAGGAAAGATACCTTTAAAAAATAATAAATGAAAACACGCATTTTTTAAAAGTCGAACAGAATCGTATAGGAATGTTGTGAGCTTCGTAATTGCGTACGGCGCCATTGAAGAATAATATAAGTTTCATTTGTAGTACATGATATACAGGATTTATTCATATATAATTGATTAAAATAATAATGAAGGAGAATTTAAAATTCCCAAATTTATAAATGTTTACGAAGTTAAACTTTAGTAATTCGTTCTATTTAGTCGAAGTCCCGAGTTGTCAACGGCTTCGTCTTCGGTGACCTCTCCAATTGTCGGCATATTTTCTGGTTATTTCTCTCTGCTAGACGTTCATACATTAAAGATTGACCGTCCATAACCAAAGGAATATAGTCGATGTCAAAATTTCAACCAGCCATATTGTGTATTCTATTTATTTAGCGTAAAAATCTATTCAATATATTTTTTCTTACGATAAGCTTTACGAGTTCTATTGACCATTGACACCTATATTCCGGGCGTTTTATCGTCTAATTACGTCCGTTTTCAACATTATTTCATAATTAAACAATAATTATATGTTTCAAGAGTATAATGGTGTTTCATTTTTAAGAAATTTAGATATGTGATAAAAACCCTTTGATGTAGGGACATTAATAGAATGAAAAATAAGTACAAATATAGAAAATAATCACCAGAGGTTTTAATCAAAACTTTAAAACTGAATAGATAGTTTGATTAAAATAAATCATCTTTACCTGTCCCTTTCTCAATATTTTACTTTACTTACACTTCACGTTATTCATATTGTAGATAATGTTTATACATATTTAACCGTCAGATATTTATTCCGTTTTCTCTTTCTTTGAAGACCTATCCATTTTCAATGGTAATTTATATATTTTCATATATGACTAAGAGATTTTGAGAAAGAAAAATAGTTCGACACAATATTTACCCTTTATTTTGACGATGCTGAAAATATGCATCGATTTTCGTATACCTTGTGATCGTTTCTAAAATTGTCAACAAGGAGTCAACTGTTAGAAAACCTTCCTTACATTTTACATTTAAAATATTTCTAACCAACAAAACAGTTACTGGACATTTTATTTTTGCTGCGCTATTTCGTTATATTTTCGGTACCATTGCGATATCCTAACTATGGCGTCACATTTTCGCGATTTCCTTCGTGTAAAATTATTTCTACGCATGACTATGCACAAAAATGACAATTCAATAATTGGATTAGTAAAATTACAGCAAATGTAAATATTGTTGCATAACATATGTCTTTCTAACGTTAATGGGTTGATAATTACATGACTATACTTACTATTCTGTCGTGACCGTTAAACTATATCAATTCAAACTCTGGTAGGGATCAAGGTCTTTGTTATCTGCACGCAGTTCAATTACATATTGTAGAACCACCATGGACGGCTTGTTACTTTGCTTGCTGCTGAGCATTACGGCCACACTTGCGTTGAAACGCCAGGCAATAGACAATTTAGAAGGTAAATCATTAAATCATTAAAAATATTTTTTTTAAATTTTACACAATCTTCATAAACCTTGGAACTGTATAATATTAACCTGTGTTCAAAGAGTTAAGGTACATATGAGAGGTTGCCATCTTTTTTCCACCGGTATTAAGATTTTGCCTAAAATATCTCCTTTTCAAACTTTAAAAAACTAACCTAAATTCATTTAGATTATATTAAACAGTTACTAATATACAGCTTGTTCAGAGTTACAGCCATTTTAAAATCAGGATATTTTGTTATTCATCTAAAACATCTTAAATGTAGAGATACCCTAATTATGCAGTCCTTAGAGTGAGCAGTATTAGTTGTATCTAAAAAGGAATTGTTTTAAAAGCTTTTACTCGTTAAAATGACTGGCTTTAATATTCCCTATCAACATTATGTATGCATAAACTTATATGTGCTGTGTTGGGTTTCTGAAAGGTTCAATATTGATGACATATCAATCCTGCACAATTAAAAATTAGCAGTGTGGGGAAAATAAACATTTTCACATCTAACTGGAATATAAACAAACAAATAAAACTACAAAAGTAAACGAACAAATAATAAAAAAAAAAAAAAAATTAAAGAACTAAATTTACATGTCTCTCACTTGACACTTGTATTTCCCATCCATGCTTATGTACCTTGAATATTTCACATTTAAACTAATTACTGCATGTTAAGAGTACATTACTATTAATTGAGATATTTTCCCAGTGATATTGAAAAAAAATTAATGTATGATATAAGTAGAAAAAAATTTTTATTTCTCAGTTCCGTCATTTGCTGCTGGAAAACTTGTTGCCCATGTTATCTTTCAAAAACTAACCGATGCATCCGGGCTAGCAGCCAGTCAGACATTCAAGGATGTCCTTTACACCCACAACGATGGAGCAGGAGGTCCATACATATATGCAATAAACGCGACATCTGCGGCTCTGATCTCCACATTGAAGATTGCTAATGCCACCAACCATGATTGGGAGGACATTGCTGTTGGTCCGTGTGGAGAATCTAGCTGTATTTACATCGCTGATTCTGGTTCTAGACATTCAAAATCAGCCAACAAGATCTACAGGGTACTGGAACCAGACGTTATAAGTATGGATCAAGTGCTACCTGTTGATTCCACGGCTCGATACACGTAAAATAAGCTTAATGCTTTTGTTCTAAACTTATGACTGATTTTTTTTTTTACACAAGCCTCCACCTCCTCATTTTTAAAATTAACGCCAATTACCGTATAAGCTGAACTTTTAATGAGGATTCAATTGTGACTTTAAAAGCGAGGGTGTTGAGATCGCTAAAATTGAATATCGCTAAAAATTAATTGCGTATCGATTGTAAGAGCTTCTGTTGTTGGCAATATAAAATGGCAAAAATTACTTCTTGCTAAAAATTATATAGATTTTTAAGAATAAATCGCTAAATTTGCGTCTCGCTAAAATTCCACTTATACGGTATTTGAAATCGAAATCAATTGAAGACGTGGTTTCATCCAAAGATGATGTACTGAAATAATTGTAGAGCCATCTTTTTTAGCAGAGGATCAATAAATTCTTCTTAAGTAGATGATATCACATGAGAATGGAGACAACTTTAGTGAATCTTTATATCAATAAATATATCAAATCTAAGAATATTTTTCTATTCTGTATTTTCATGAATTAAAACCAAACCTCAGATAAGAAATCAGAATTTTCTGTAGATGGTCAGAGGACGAATCAGAAACCCTAATGGTGGATCCAAACGGTGAAGTGTACCTCATCGGTGTAATACACAGTGGACGTGGAATGGTCTCCAATCTTCCAAGCAGCGCCTGGGGAAGCCCTAACCCAGTCAACATTGAGTCCATCCAGTTCCTTCCTCTTCATACCCACCACCACGACCCAGTCTCAGGCGATATTTCTATGGACGGTAGCGAACTTCTTATCAAATCAAAATCCAAAATCTTTTACTGGAAGATTGATGGTGGTGACGTCATGAAGTCCCTAACTAAACATCCTATTGAAGTTCCCTACCATGATGAGGTAGATGGTGAAGCTATTTGCTGGAGTGCTGACGGTCAGAACTACTACACACTACCTGAAGGGCTCAATCCGGCACTTTACATATATTCCCGTATCAATACTGGGAACCAAGGTTTAGTTGGAAATCTTGTGGGGAAAAGATAGTAATTAAATTATATTTTTTAATTTTTAAGTTTCCTTTCATTTTTAGTCATTACACCTTAAACAGATATCCTTAACTTGTCATGAATTTGAAAGTGTCACTTATACTCAGGATGTTGTTTATATATATATATATATATATATATATATATATATATATATATATATATATATATATATATATATATATATATATATATATATATATATATATATATATATATATATATATATATATTTATTTATTTATTTATTTATTTATTTATAATGTCGAAGAGAAATTCCATTAATTTCGACACAAGCGGTGTACTGCTCATGCTCAAGTGTCCGTGTATAGAGAAGAAAGGAAGTCTCTTTATGTATCGGCTGAAAACGAGATCTTTTAAAACAGCTTAAAGAGGCAAAAGGGATACAATTTTGATAACATGTAGTGCATATCAGAATATACAAATAGGAAAAAGGTGTGTAAATCCCAGATTTTAAAAGGGGGTTTCATGCCCCAAGTGCCTGTGGAAACTCCTTAATGTCTTCTTGTGCCTCAGTCAATTTAAAATATTATTTAAAAAACACATAATGTTTTGTTTTGGGATGTGATGCATTTACATGAATAGTACTTGTACATTGTCCCCTTGTACTTTACTTTCCAGTTGGCAACAGGTTATTCATTGATTGGTGGAGCCTTTTGGGCTAGATCACCTCTTAGTGGCCCGTCATGAATGAAAAGGAAAAATCAGTGAGGAAACTGCGATCAACATTGATATACTAATCCCCATGTTTACCATTATGACAATGACCAAGTATTGGTTGACGTCTGAAAGATGGACGATAAAATCAAGAGAGAGATCGAGAGAGCGCTTTCAACTAAAGAAGAGAAACTAGTACTAGGGCATGTTAGAGGATTCAAGTGGTCTAAATTATTACACAGAGCGGTGCGAGAAAAGACCCCTAAAAGCCTTCATGAGTATCATGGCATACTCTAAAATATATTTGGATGAATATAAAAGTTTCAATAGACAATAACTAATCCATTTTTATTGAAGTTGCCACTCGTATATTCAGAAACATTCTCTTGTTATGTTCTTTTACATTAAGAGCAATAGCCGTTCTTACAATTTTCCTTGATTATCTGAAATACATGTAGCCAATTAGAAACATTCAATTTTTTTGCGTTGATCATGTTTTTTTTTTTTTTTTTTCCAAAATTTCAATTGATTGAACCTTTCAAAATACTCCTGCAGATATTCATCAAATTCTGAAGAAAAACAAATATAAAGTAAACTCAAATACTGGAGTCATTTTAAGGATTTCCTGAAAGGAGACAGATTTTTAAAAAATATGAAAAGTGATATAGGCTGAAACAAAATTAGTTTGTTTCTTTGGCGAAGCCGAAATTCCAAAGAAAATAAGACGAGTAGCAATCCAGCAGACATGAATATATTTAAGTTATTTTGTTGATGACCCAGTAAGCAAAATATTTCATACAAGAAGAACTTCTAAAAGTTCAAGTTGCCAAGTCATAAAAAATATTCATATAAAATTGACACAGTAAGTCAAGGGAATGGAGTTTCTTGTTATTGATGAAGGGAAATTTAATAGACTGAAAACTAAGTACAAAATAGAGGATAACCACCAGATGTTTTCATCAAAACTATAGATTAAACAAAGTGTGTTTGTAAAACACTGATGCCCCCGTATGGCAGCTTATGGCGAAGGTTAAAGTTTCTCAAATGCAAGTCAAACTCCAGGGCAAAAGATAAAAAATGTTGGTACCCAAAGAAAGGTCTTGTCTCAAGAAATATTCCTGTGAAATTTGAAAGCCCTAGCTCCAACTATCCAAATGTTAAAGCTAAGATTAAAGTTTTTTAAAAGTACACTGTAATTAAAACCTCAAGGTCATATTCAAATGAGGCCTCAAGGGAAGGTCTTGTCACATGAGATACACATGTTTGTGAAATGTGAAAGCCCTATAACCAAACGTTCATATGATATGGCCAATGTTAAAGTTTTCTTTAAAATAAGGACAAGGTCAATGCCAAAACTGTTGGTATCCAAAGGAAAGTCTCCCAAGGAATGCACATGTGAAGTATGAAAGCTGTAGCACCAAATATGTAAAAGGTATGGGCAGATTAAAGTTTTTCAAAAGTAGGTCAAACTACTCGGTCAAGGTCAAAAGGTCAAAGTGGTTGGTATCCAAAGGAAGGTCTTGTCTCAAGGATTACATATGTGAAGTATGATAGTCTTAGCACCAAACATTCAGAAGTTATGGCCAAGGTTAAAGTATTTCGAAAGTAGATCAAACAACTAGGTAGGTCAAAGGGTCAAAGTGGTTGGTATCCAAAGGAAGGTCTTGTCTCAAGGATTACATATGTGAAGTATGATAGTCTTAGCACCAAACATTCAGAAGTTATGGCCAAGGTTAATGTATTTCGAAAGTAGATCAAACAACTAGGTAGGTCAAAGGGTCAAAGTGGTTGGTATCCAAAGGAAGGTCTTGTCTCAAGGATTACATATGTGAAGTATGATAGTCCTAGCACCAAACATTCAAAAGTTATGGCCAAGGTTAAAGTTTTTCGAAAGTTGGCCAGACTACTAGGTCAAGGTCAAAGGGTCAAAGTGGTTGATATCCAAAGGAAGGTCTTGTCTCAAGGATTACATATGTGAAGTATGATAGTCCTGGCACTAAACATTCAAAAGTTATGGCCAAGGTTAAGGTTTTCAAAAAGTAGGTCAAACTCCTAGGTCAAGGTCAAAGGGTCAAAGTGGTTGGTATTCAAAGGAAGGTCTTGTGAAAAGAAATAGAAATTTTAAATATGAAAGCCTTAGCTCCAGCTGTTCAAAAGTTATGGCCAAGGTTAAAGTCTCATAAAATTTTGCAAAAGTGGGTCAAACTCCATAGTCAAGGTCAAAAGGTCAAATATGATGGTACCCAAAGAAAGGTGTGAAATACATGTGAAGAACGAAAGTCATAGCTCCAACCAATCAAGTTATGGGCAAGGTTAACGTTTTTGCGGACAAACAGACAGACCGGCAGACAGACAACTAGACAGATAGACGGACGGACAGGGCAAAAACTATATACCCCCAATCTTCGATACGAGGACATAAAAATATCACTTTAATTCTTAAAAATTTCTTTCATAGCTTTACCTACCCTTTGCAATATTTTACTTTATTAACACTTCACTTTATTCATATTCTAGGTAATGTTTATACAAGTTTAACTATCAGATATTTACTCTGTTTTCTCATTCTTTTGAGGACCTATCCATTTTCATTGGTCATTTATATATTTCTCTATATGACTGAGAGATTTTGAGAAAAAAAATAGTTCGACGCAATACTTACCCTTTACTTTGATGTTGCTGAAAATCTGCATTGATTTTCATATACTTTGTGATGGCTTCTAAAAATGGTCAACAAGGAGTCAACTGTTACATAAAATTCCTTACATTTTACATTTAAAATATTTCAAACCAACAAAACAGTTACTGAAGATTTTAGTGTTTTGCTACCCTATTTCGTCAAATTTTCGTTACCATTGCCCTAGTCTCAATATGGCGTCACATTTTCGCAAGTTTCTACGTGTAAAATTATTTTTACGCATGACTATGCGCAAAAATGGCAATTTCATGGTTGGTTTAGTAAAAAAAAAAAACAGCAAATGAAAATATTGTTACATAGCATACGTCTTTCCTACGTTAATGGGTTGATAACTGCACACTATTCTGTCGTGACCGTTATTAATATATCAATTCAAACTCTGATAGGGATCAAGGTCCTTGTTATCTGTACGCAGTTCTATTAAAATCAACATGGACGGCATGTTACTTTGCCTGCTGCTGAGCATTACAGCCACACTTGCATTGAAACGCCAGGCAATAGACAATTTAGAAGGTAAATCATTGAATCATTCAATCATTAAAATATTTCTTGAATTTTATACAATCTTCATAAGCTTTGGAACTTCTTACCTGTGTTCCGAATATTAAGGTACAAATGAAAGATTGCAATCTTTTTTCCAACGATATTAAGATTTTTTTTTTAATTTTTAAATGTCGGCATTGCAAACTTTAAGAAACTAACCTAAAATCATTTAGATTATGTTAGACAGATACACAGCTTGTTCATAATTACAGCCATTTTAAAATCAGGACATTCTGTTATTCATCTAAAAGTATCGCTAAATGTAGATACCTTAATTATTCAGTCCTTGGGTGAAAATTTGTCCTACATTAGCTATATTTAAAAAGAGATTGTCTTCAAAAGTTTTTATTCATTCAAATAACTGGCTTTTATGTTCTTTATAAACACTGTATTTATTGTATTCATGAACTTGTTTGTGCTGTATAGGGTTTCTAAAAGGATCAATATTGATGACTTATCAATTCTTCACAATTAACAAATTAACAGTTTTGGGAAAAATGAATATTGATACATCTAATTGGAAAATAAACAAACAAATAAAAATTCAAAAGTAAACGAATAAAAAAAAAACATTAAAGAACTAAATCTACATGTCTCTCTCTTGAAACTCGTATTTCCCATCCGTGCTTAAGTACCTGAAATATTTTACATTTGAACTAATTACTGCATGTTAAAAGTACATTGCAATTAATTAAGATATTTTCCAAGTGATATTGAAAAAATATAAATGTATGATATAAATAGAAAAAATATATTATTTTTTCTCAGTTCCATCATTTGCTGCTGGAAAACTTGTTGCCCATGTTATCTTTCGAAACCTAACCGATGCATCCGGGCTAGCACCCAGCCGAACATTCAAAAATGTCCTATATACCCATAACGATGGAGCAGGAGGTCCATACATTTATGCAATAAATGCAACATCCGGGGCTCTGATCTCTACCTTAAAGATTGCTAATGCAACCAACCATGATTGGGAGGACATTGCTGTTGGTCCGTGTGGAGATTCTAGCTGTATTTACATCGCTGATTCTGGAGAGAGACATTCTTCCTCGGCCAACACAATCTACAGAGTCCTAGAACCAGACGTCATTAACATGGATCAAGTTCTACCTCTCGATTCCACCGCTCGATACACGTAAGAACAAAGCTTGACTGATGCTTGTATATTTTATGAAGTTAATCTATAGAAGCTAGTATGGGCGGTCAATCAGAATTATCTTAAGACTTGATTTTATCCATAGATAATGCATTCAAAAGCAAAACAGCCTCTGCTACGTATTTTTTTTTATTCATAAAAGAAATAAATTGAATTAAAGATGCAAAATAAAAAGCATTTGAGTATTAATCATTGTTATTTTTCAAAATGCCATTTCAATCCTAAAAGTTAATGACAAAACAAGATGAATGAGGCATCTTAAGCAAATTGTTTCAATACAAGGATAAATTATTACAGTAATACATATTTCTCTACAATTTATTTAATCATAAAAGTCGGATGACACGTCAAGTACTAGTAATTATAAGTTAATTCTCTGCTTAAGATGGTCAGAGGACGAATCACAAACGCTAATGGTGGATCCACAAGGAGAGGTGTACCTCGTAGGTGTAATATACAGCGGACGTGGAATGATCTCCCATCTTCCAAGCAGCGCCTGGGGAAACCCTAACCCAGTCAACATCGAGTCGACCCAGTTTCTTCCCATTCATACCCACCACCATGACCCAGTCTCAGGCGATATTTCTATGGATGGTAGCGAACTCCTTATCAAATCAAAATCCAACATCTTTTACTGGAAGATTGATGGTGGTGACGTCATGAAGTCACTAACTAAACAACCTGTTGAAGTTCCATACCATAACGTAGGACTTGGCGAGGCTATTTGTTGGAGTGCTGACGGTCAGAATTACTACACACTACCCGAGGGGCATAACCCGGCACTTTACATATATTCCCGGATTAATGCTGGGAATCCAGGCATAGTTGGAAAATAAAATACGTCAAATGCTGTTTACAATGATTGTTTTTTTTCGTACATTTTTTTTTTTTTTTAAATAAAGATCAAAGTATTAAATCTTTGAAATTTAACATTTCTTGGTTCATTAAAGTCCAACACGTATGACCTTTCTTACATCAGGCTCTGGGGGTCATAAACTAAGACCTGCTCACTATTGATCTCAGTCTCACTTTTTCGAAATCAAGTAAAACTGAGGTCAAAAATGAGCTCATCTATAAGGTTTTATAGCCCCGAAGTCAGACTTCACAGATACGGACAATCTTCTCACAGAACACTTTTTAAGATAATGACTATTTCTTACAGAGGGAAATGAAAGAAATGAGATTCAAATCAAATTAAGTGTACTTCTTAGACGACCAAAAACTGAGACAATTCTTTGTTGAAGATAGAAGATTTTAAAGAAATACTTAGTAACAGTTTTATATTATTATATAGATTTGTCATTATTTCAACTGCAGTGAAACAGATGCAGTGACCACCTTTTAAATATATATATATCTATATATATATGAGTAAAAGTAATACTTGGACGAGCTCACTTTTGATCTCAGTCTCACTTCTACAAACGGAATTAATAGTGGAAAAGTGAGACTGAGATAAAAGTTTTATAGCCCCTGAGCCTGCTTTCTGTTAAAAAAGAAAGTTAATTTCATCACTTTCGACTCACTGATTTCCAGTCCACTAAAAGATCGAAATGATTTCACAATATTTCTGAAGAAACACTTAAGAATTTATATAAATTCTATAAGAATTTATATAAACTTCTTATAATTATAAGCGGACATTTTAGGAAGACTTTTGAAAAATATCGACCCCCAATATCAAATAATATCTGTACATGTATAAGAATCACACAAAAGAGAATTAATAAAGATTATTATTTCTATTGAACAAAAATACACATTCAATCTGCAAATGTATATACATGTACAGAGAAAAAATAAGACAATTTATAAGATTAATCAAGAATTCTGTTATCTTGGCATATCATATTTGTGTATAATTATCCTGGACACAATTTTCTGAACAAAAATTTCTCTCCACATTATTTCTTAACTTACTTATCATAAAGTCTGTCTGTCTTTATGTTTGTGTGTGCTTTTTTTTCTCTCTCTCTCTTTAAGACCCAAGAAAATATTTTTCAAAACAATATTTTGGCGACAAAATGTGCAGATTTTCATAGAACATATTATGGTTGACGACAATATGTGCCGATGTGTGAATGTACATTTTGTCGTCCATTCTGCAGTAGAAAAAAAAGGCTCATCTCGGTACATATTGTCGCCGGGGTTAAGATGTGCCGATGGACGATAATATATGCAGTGATACAGGGTGTTGACGGTACTTATTTTCGTCCTGTGGTATTGCGTGCCACTGAAAATGTCGCCGGCGACAATCTGTTAATGTACATATCCTTACTGCATGTACAGATTGTCGTCCATCTTTCATATTGTTGCAGGATGCAAAATTATACATGTACATAACATGTATTGTCGCTGGCGACATATGCAAATTGTTAGAGTTACAGTAGAATGGATAATGATGATGATACATTTATACATTCAATTTTCATCAGATCGCTAATTTTTCATTTTTTTCAAAATCAGTGAAGCAGCTGCAATGAACCCTTTAGACGAGGAACATCTCTCTCTCTCTCTCTCTGAAACTTATAACAACACACCCACTATCTGTTAAAAAAAGAACTTTCATCACCTTCGGCTCACTGATATCATGTGCATGGACTAAATATTCTAACCTATTTCACAATATGACTTAAGAATGTATCTAGTCTATAGATTCTGAAGCAACTATCAATGCATATATAAGAATCACACAAACATACACAGATAATTATTACTATTGAACACAAAAATTAACATTCGATCTCAAAAGATTACGTTGATTTATCAAATAATCCCGAATTCCGGTATCTTTGCACATCATAGTAGTGCACACCGATCCTGGACACAATTTCTGATTAGTTTTTTTTTAAATTTCGTTATTGCTTGTTTTCTTTCTCTTTCATAGACTCTGTTTTATTCTTTCTTTGTTTCAGTCTCTCTCTCTCTCTTCAAGACCTTAGCGAATATTCTTGAAAACAATATATTGGCGACAAAATGGGCAAATGTTCACAGTACATATTCTCGTTGACAACAAAATGTACCGATGTGTAACTACATTTTGTCGTCCGTACTGCAGAAGGAAAAAAGGCTCGTCTTGGCACATCTTGTCACAGGCGACAATATGTAGAAGACGACAATATGTGCAAAGTGCCAATCAGTTTTACCAGACCACTTTCTTCATTAAAGTCACAGCTATATACTCGGTAAGCCTATATATATATACAATGTGTATATATATATATATATATATATATATATATATATATATATATATATATATATATATATATATATATATATATATATATATATATATATATATATCTATCTATCTATCTATCTATCTATCTATCTATATATATATATATATATATATATGTAGTTAATCAAAATGATTAGAATTGAGAGACATTTTACATGTACTCATGCCTGGGAATAGGCTGCTGAGGTTAAGATTATGATGTATATTGGAACTTTTGATTTGTCCAAACAAACATTCGTCCAATCTCATTTTTCTCATCAGAATAATGCGCAGTACCGACAAAGGAAAAATAAACAATATAAAGGTATTATGTGTGATTAACAACAGCATGAAATGCAAAACATAATTTCTATTGCTTCTACTTACAATTTTCTGTTACTAATTCTACATTTTTGCAGAATTATGTCAGAAATTAAATGACAACTCCGAAAAAAAAAAATAATTTTAATAATAGAGACATTGAATATTGCTATATTGACAATGTCAACAATACAGCCAAGGTAATTATAAAAATTCCCACTTTAAGGACATTGGCAAGTCAGGGCTTTCCGGAGAAAAAAGGTTTAATACATGGGTTTTTTCACTTGTAAAATAGTGATTGAGAGTGATCTCCCGTGTAGAATTCTCTAAGCGGTGAAAACCAGTAAAGCGTATGTTATAGAGGTAAACAAAAGCACGTGTACTTCCTTCAACGGGTAGAATCTTCTATACAGCAAGAACGAAAAGTAGTAATGGCTTTGTTGTACATTGTATTCAGGGACAAAGAGCAAACAGGTCGTCATTTACCATAGTTATGCTCGGTATGCTGGGAAGGGCAAAGATGTGACATATGCTGAAAGGTAGGTCGACCATGCCGACTGAGAACAGTTCTTAGGTCGTGTGAAGGAATCAGCACTTAGTAATTACGAATAAAAGTTAAAAATAAATCCATGTCAATATTTTTATGACAATGTATTTCAATCAATTCAGTCAATTACATGATAAAAACAATCAACCAGTCACTTGACCAATTTTAGCTGTTAAGGGACGCAACTCAAAAATGATGATCGGTGCCGGTATATCCATGTCTTTTTTCTATAAATACATTTTCAACCAAAATATCTAGAAGTCATAGGAAATGAAGTTACAATAATGTATACAATACAAAAACTGTATGAAATAAATGGGTTTTGAAGAAATATTATGGTGAAAATTTATGTAGGTCCCTTTTATCAACATTTTACATAGGAAATGCATTAAGAATTGTAAAAACACTAATTTGACAAAATCTAAAAAAGAATGCTGGATTAGTAGGTAAAACGATCCAGAATATAGCCTATTTAGTACATTTAAACCTACTCAAAAGTTCTTGAAAAATTCTATACAATAACCAGGAACCTTGCCAATGTCCTTAAAAGGCCTGTATACTTTAAAATCTTAATAAAAAATCTTATGCAATCCAAAGTGCTCCTTTGAGTTACTTTTCGTTTATTACACCGAGTTCCCTACCAGTGGATACTGGTGGATACAGTGGATAAATCAAATTGTTTGTATCTATGTATGCTCTTATTGACTTTAATAAGCAGTAGTCACAACATCTGTTCGATTTATGTCGAGATAATGACGTAACCAGTAAGAAATATTTGTAAAATGTACTACAAAAAAAAAAAAAGATTTCTTTAATGGATATTTTTAATTATTTTATTACAATCATGATCATAAAAATTGCATGTCTCTTAAAAAACAGATTGCGTCAGATTCAGCCTTAAAACATGATTATAATATAGAACTTTCGTTTGCATAGTCCTTTCTGTTGGTTATTGTTGTGCTAAAACAACTCTTAGAATATTAGATTAAACCTGTATTGCTTATTGCTTTTGGGGAAAAAGTACTCCTTTCTCTTCACTAGTGGATGGTAAATTTAAATCAGAATGGACAGTTCTGATGAATATAACAAGTTGCTGTCCTTTAAAAAAGGACTGCAATACGTGGACCATATGCATGCGTTTCGAAAAGAAATTTAAAGAAAATTTCTAGACTTAGTGAGTTTACAAAGGTGTAATTAAGTTTAATCTTAATTTTTTTTCTAATTTTCATCGTTATTTAAGTCTGCTTAATTAGGCTGTAATGATAGGAAAAATCGTGACCTTGAAATGATATGAATATGAAATGTTGATCTAGGTATCTATCACAATTGTAATTTAGCCTTTAAAATTAACAACAGAATTAAAAGAGGCTTAAGCGTGCAGGTATCGTAATCTCCATTGGCGTATCCAGGGAGGGGGGGGGGGTTCGGGCGTTGGAACCCCCTTTATTTTTGCGGAAAGAGGAAGAGAGAGAATGTTTATTCTGTAATATATATATATTTTTTTACATCTAGTATTTTCAATAAAATATTAAGTACTTCAATCTCTGCCCTTTCTGCTCTCTATAAAAAGAGTTTTGCTTATTGCTTCCTCCGTGTACCTTCACAATACCGGTCCCGGGCCTCGACCACCCACATGTAACATGAAATAGTTCACTTTGATATCGTCGGAAGATTCCAGCGAACGAACGTACGGCTATGCCATTTTTGGACCATCTTCTAAAGTAACTAACTTTAAGAAGTATGCATAAAAAGTCATGAAAGGGAGTATCCATAAGAGAATATTGTCCTTTACAAAAATATTGATATTTCTTATGCAAAATTTGTACCTGACAATTAATTGTCATGTACAAGTTTTGTCTAAAAAATATCAAAATTTTTATAAAGGACAATATTTATTATTTATCTCCTTATATTATGGGGATATTTTAATCAATGAAGAGAAAGGTTCAAAATGTCCCGTAGTATGTGGGGGAGGGGGGAGGGCTCACTTTTTCTTTAATTTGCATTGGAAGCTCCCCCGCACTTTTTGTTGCGGAAACGTTCAAAATACAGAAAATCAAACATTTAAAAGAAATCAAAATGTACCGAAAAGTTAGACGAAGCCCCCCCCCCCCCCCCCCCCAATAGGATTTTACAGGGTGGTGCACAGGTTGTTAATTTATTTATTTATTTCTGCTTGTCAACTCTTTTTGGAGGTTGCCCCCTTTGAAAACTGTTGCTACGGGCTTGAATGTAAGTGCCTGTGGTGTGACTTAGAACCCCCCCCCCCTTTACTAAAGGGTCTCGAGTTATCTTAAACAACGGCTATGCTAAGTTATCGATTAACTCGATCAATTCAAAAACACACAAAAAAGATTAATTTTTGTGTGTTTTTCTCTCTCTGTCTCTTTTAAATAACGGAATGGTTAATATACAACACCTGCAATCGTACTTAACTTCTCGGCAAAAGGTCTGAGAAGATGCGATTGACAATCTTATCGCAAGTGTGTAGACCTAGGCTATTTGGTCTTGCAAGCACAGGTGTGTGTACTGTTTGCTAGTGACGCTTAGGCTGGTGACGGTATTTGCTACAGACATGAAGGACTATACACCAGTTTCATAACATGTACAGTTTTTTTTCTTGTGAAAACTGGAGTAAATTAAAAGTCGAATATTTTGGATATGGGGTAACCCATATCTATTCTTGTAACAACGACCGTCAATGCATCCATGGACGAGTTCATTGGTTACTCTGAAAGGTGACACAGGTTTACCTTTCGTTAACATTTTCTACAATGATCTGCCTACTTTGAGTGATTGTACTTTCATAGCAAAGTTGTTAAATTTTATTCCCGATTGGCCTATAGTTTTGTCATTTAACTGAAAAAAATCGGGCTATTTCGATACATGTAATGCTTAACGGCTGGGACATGACATCTGTACTAGATTTATACGGAAGTATCCTATCATTGGAAAGATAGATGGTACACGTGTAGCACAGATATGTAGTACGCAGAATTTTTTTTTTTTGGATGTTTCTCCCTCTCCCCCACATGGAAAAACATTGCTACAAGCCTTTATCAAGCTATATTTGGATTGCTGTCTATCAAATTATTTTGCAAACCTTGATGCACAAAACTAATGCTGGTAAACATGGCAAAGACTATCTTTTAACACCTAGTGGTTTTAATTCAACATGTTCAAGCCGCTTAGAGGCGAACTCTCTAGCATCATCGCGCATGCGTAGCCTGACGTAAGCCCATGGCATCCGGTTTAACACCGCTAATATATTTTCTGCGTGGACCTCAGGGTCCACGCAATAAGGAATACCGGGTAAAACTAAACTATAGAAGAGGGAATGTTTGTCTTTCCAATTTCCAGTTATCTCATTTAGTTTGCAAATTTATTACTATTTTTCCTATTTTCTTTTTTTTTCGCCCATGCCTCAACTTAAATATCTTGTTTTAGTAAAATGTTCTGTTCAATGATGCCGAAATGTGGCTGAAATACAGTCGACTCGGGTTAAAACAAGGAACAGTCAATCATTAGGACCTAATCAATCTACATTGTTGACACATGCTTTAGAGTAAAGAAATGTCTAGTCACAAATGGACTTTTTCAGTTTTTCTCCTTTGCATGAAATTCTTAGCGCACCTGAATATATATATATATATTTAAATTTTCTCCGTTGCTTCAAAAATACACTAAATAATGATCACAATGTTTTTATCAGATTCAAAAATATAGAAAAAATTAAACACAAACAAGGCCTACTGGATACTAACTATAATTAATTTACGAACATATGTAAATCAGTTACATTTCACATTCCTTGAACTTTGTATCTTATTTGTATATACAACAATTGTAAACTTTAAGGCAAATATAGTACAGAAATGGGTGATTTACAGGAAAAAAATACATACATGTGTACCTAAGCAGTTGGAAAAAAAATATAAATAAGTTGCTTAAGATATTAATAAGAAAAAATAAAAAAAAATCACACAATAGCCTATTGACTACATTACATCAATTCATGATCAAGATACAGAAATTTTATAGTTTAATAGTTTACCGTAGATGCCTACTTTAACCCAAGTAGACTTATCTGCTAAATATTTTTAAAAAAAATTTAAAGTCAATAAATGTTAAATGTTGCATGATGAGTATGATAGGACGAAAATGCTTTCAGATACCATCTCGTATATCACATCTGCAAATGCAAGCAAATTAAAACTAAGCTCCCCTAATAGCATGAATAAGATGATTAAGAAAATAATTCGGCCATTTCACTACCGAGGATTATGTTTCGTTAATTGACTGCGTTTATAATAGTACATTTTTGGGGGAAAAGAAATCTAGGATATGAGATAATGACCAAGTTTTAAGAAAAAAAATCTTTGATTATATAATGATCTCAAGATGAACCCTGCCATTCATTCAAACTTGAAGGTCTGAAAATTCGGCTGAATGGCTGAGTCCTGCTCTTCAGTCAATATTCATTAAACGGTCATTCACTTTACAGTTTACTGAATTGTATAATTTCATCTTATGAATGGAAGTAAATGATTCTGGATTTCTATCAAATTTTACAGGGCCATCTTCAACGAGTTTTTTTTTTCAGTTTTAAATTGCAGATATGCAACCGACACTCAAGAGATCGCGTTTTTTTTTTTTTTTTTTTTTTTTTTTTTTAATTTTTTTTTTTTTTTTTTTTTTTTTTTTTTGGCAATTGGTTCATTAATGAAGTAATGATCAATTTCTTCTAAATACATCTTCTATTTTTATTTTTATTAAAATTTGAAACAAGCAAATAATTTTTGATTGTTATGTTAATACCATGCTATTACCGCCATGTTTTAGTTTCCTTCCTCTGCATTCGTTTAAGTACACTTCTTACTGAATCGAATGAGGCATGGGTAATCATCGCTAAAGTGTCAATATTCTCTAAAATATTGTAATTTGATTCGCAGTAAACTTGCATAACCTCTATATATGGTTTGAAAACATTAGAAAATTTTGAAATTTAATATCTTTTTGATTTACCGATACAGGTTAACGATCATCTTTAAAAAATAGCAAATGATTCATAGTCTTGTACATTTACGACATTCATTCATTCATTCAATCTTGAAGTACATTATAATGAACCAAGATCGACAATACAGTTTCAGCATAATAATATATCATGTATATACATGTAGTACATGTCATACAAGATAAAGAAATTAAGCTGGACAGTATAATCTGTGAAAGAACAGGTGGCGCTCCCTTACAGATCTAGTACATGAACAATGGCCGCCAAAACAATAATTCTCTTTGTCGTTTCTGTGCTTGTTACCCGTCTTGATGCGCAGGTAAGATTTAAATCAATTAGAAAATACCTTTTTGGACCTTTGTTCCTATTAAGAAACAGATGTAATTTTTAAATTTAAAACTATATCATCTCATGAGTAAACAGATGATTACAATTTAATTTAAAAAGTTGCAAAGTGTTTCTTTAGCAGTAAATCAAAATCTCATGCTCATCTAATGAGGTTTTTTTTATTTTGCTACTATTGTATTAGAAATTAATATCCACCGACCCCCCCCCCCCCCCAAAAAAAAAAAAAAAAAAACTCTTGTAACTTCATAAAGATAATTAACCAGCTGTAATGTTGTATACCTCCACAAAGAGATACAAACGTCACTAAGGCGTTGACTTCTTTTTTTCTCTTTTCTTTGTTTTTAGGACAACATACGCTGTGATATGAGTGACCGTTACGGATCATGTGATTCCGGGTTTTGCTGTGTTCGAGACCAGTTCCTTGCTTCGTACGTCTACTGCAAACGTATTCCAACAAACACACACCACTGCATGACCGTGGTGTCTGAGTCAGAATGCGCATGTTCAAGTAACTTAACATGCGTACCAAACATTAATCTACCAACATTTACTTCCGTTTATGGCAAATGTCAAGGAGATTCCAGCACAGACATACCAGATTCTACGATGCCGACAGACGCTATTCATAAACCCACGAAAAGTCACCGCTAATAAAATGCCTGCACCAGGAGATTGGTTTTGTTTGTGAATAAGAAATTTGTATGAGTAAATTTGCATGAACAAAGATGTTTCTGTGCTTTAATTTCACTCAGAGTTTAATTTTTTTTTTCTTTCTAACTACTTAGTTGAAAGAAACATAACCCTACACAAGTTTTACATATTAAAAGGCGAAATAAAAACTCTGAAACAATGTTTTGCAAAAATATGACCATTTCAAACAAATTTCGAAAGCAGAAGAAATGCTCTAAGAATATAACTCCAGGATAATGAAAAGGATGTAGAAAACGAACAGTGATCGTGATCTCATAATAAACCTTCAAACAATACTAATCTGTGAACAGAGCATAAACACGAACCCTTGGAAATTCCATAGGTGGAATCAGGTGCCTAGGAGGAGTATGCACCCCCTGTTGACCGGTCATATCCGCTTTTAGCCCTATGTATTGATCAAGTAGACGGAACATTCCGTAGTCAAAATAAGTATATAAAAACAATGGTCTAACAATTGGTAGGAAACAAAGTCAGCCAAAATACGACTCAATGATAGGCTATATTTGCTTATAAGGTCATTATAAGGACCATAGAATTTACGAAAATGTTGACTGTAAACAAGTTTGTTGAAATCCCTGTAACATTAACTTATTTGTGAGTAGCCCTGTCTCGGTTTAAAAACTGATCGTGGAAAGTTACTACACAAATAAGGAAAGTTGACAATAGAAAGTTGAAATCATCTGGTTTGTTATATCATTTAGTTGCAAGTTGGCTTGAGTAACTTTCGCTCTGCGAGGACGTTGTGTCTAAGATTGTTGAGAAACACTTTAAATCCACTTAAATCAAAGAATAATGACTGCTGATATCGTTAGCCACTTAATTGGTTTTGAATTTGAATCTTTCAGATAATTCACATGTATTTTTAAATAAAGAAGAGCAAATGGTGATCGATAGTATGAATGTAATGAAATAAGCTTGAATTTTGTATCCAAGACAACAATAGTTTTAGTAAACAATGCATCAAAATTCCACACCTTCATTGAAATTTGACTAAAAATTTGAATAAAGTCTCTAAGTACATTTATATATTACTTTTTCTACTAATGGTATCGTTTAGTTGAAACTAATTGCTAAATGTGAAGCCAGGTGATTAGCACTAAGGTGTTTAAATTGTGTCTTGACTTGAACTTCTTAAATAAAATTAATTCTGAGCATATTTTTGATTGCGATATCAGAGGATCTTTCTTGTTATATATAACTTAAAGTGTTGTTATAACTGAAAGTCGTTAAGAAATGTAATTTTTAATGAATGTTAAAGCCTAAATTTATAAATCATGTGTATTCTTCATATGTACAGAAAATTATGTTCATGTCGTCTATGTCCTAAGGGTGTTTTATGACATTGATCATGATTTTTGGTGTCAAGTCAAAATAGGTTTCAATCGATCAGATACACTGTACAAAATCATATTCAGACAATGTCATATTCAGACCACAATAACGTAGGTGGAATCAAAATAAGATTCAAGTAATGTTCAAGTCAAGGTCAGATTCACGTGATGTCAAGTTCACGATAGTAAGATTAGATTCAAGTGATTGAAAGTTCTGATTCAAATGATGTCAAATCAAGATCAGTATCATGTGATGTCAAATCAAGATCAGTATCACGTGATGTCAAATCAAGATCAGTATCACGTGATGTCAAATCAAGATCAGTATCACGTGATGTCAAATCAAGATCAGTATCATGTGATGTGAAATCAAAATCAGATTCAGGTTTCCTCAAATCAAGATCAGATTCACGTGTTGTCTCACCAAGAACAGTTTTATTCTACGTGATGAAATGTGATGGTATGCTCAAAAATTCAATTAAGCAATACAAATTGTGAGCAAAACAACATAGACCTCTGAAAACAGAGGTTGGATCAGGTGCAATGGAGGTGTAAGCGATGAATAATATTGCATATTTGTTTGAGAACTATGTTTAGTATGTTTTGCTTTAATTGTCTTATTTGTGTTTACATATACATGACTTTTTTGATTATTCTGTCATTAATTTTACTAAATAAATGACCTCTTCTTTTCCTCTTCTGAATGTTATGTCTTGTCTTTTCCCTAAAATCTCTGTCTCTGTCTCGAAACAACCAACTAGTGTATTAATGCAGCAGAAATTTCAAAGTCTTCGGGATTAATATTTCGAAAATAGCAGCCACTTTGGGAGAGGATCTATCATTTTTTATTACATTCATTTTTCTAGTTTGCCGACATTGGCTTAATTATGTACAAAACGTAACATCAGAGTCGATTAAGAGGCCACATTCAACGCGTGTTTGGAAATGTCGACCACTTACAAACAAAGAAAATAATTTGTATTTTATCTCGATTTCTACCCCCCTCCCCCGAAGAAAAGAAAAAAAATAAAACATACAATGTGTCAATTAAATTTTTGCTAATTGATAATATAGGCGTATTGTATATTTGGAAGGTGCCATAGTTTGCCAGCAGCGTGACACTATTCAATGAAATAGAGGAATTTTTTTTTCAAATAACTCAAGCAATGCGGAGATAATTTGAAAAGTGTGTCATGCGAGTTTGTTTCAAAGTATTTGTATCAAATCAGGACTGGAATAGTTTTAAAAAATATAAAACTTTAATGAAGAATGATATTATCTTTCAAGAATAAAAAAATGCAGTCGGCAAAATTAGATTTACAAATTTATGCTAGAAAGGCTTAAATTGTACAATACATAGCCAGCATTGAAGTATCTCCAATAACAAATTTTTTGTTGTAGTTCCAACATTTGTTGTTGTTGTTGTTGTTTTTTTTTTTTAATTTTTTTTTTTTTTGGGGGGGGGGGGTAAAAAAAAACAAGATTTTATAATCTTTCCGTATTACATTCATTTTGCATTAATACAATAATTAAGTAGTTCTGTTTAAAAAGTATTTCAAATTTATAATTTTTTAAAAAGATCTTAAGTAACTCTGATCCACAAAAAAACTTCTTAAAAGGCAATTTATAAGTTTGTTTCAAATTAATATTGTCCTTCTTGTGTGATAGATGACTTAACTGACCGGCTATACTGATAAGGCATTTGTGATCAAAATGGCGAAGCTTTTAGGAACAGTCGTGGTGTTTACCTGTTGTGAGTATTTTTTATTATTTTTGTCTTTTGACAATTAGATATTTTTAAATGTACCTTAAAATGCCATGAAATCAACAAACTAAATTCGATTTTTTGATGTTTCAGTTTTAAATAAAAAAGAAATAAAAATGTTTATTCTGAAAAATCTAGAGAAAGACTTCTAGTCTTCTAAACGGCTTCATAATATTTTTTTTTTATCAGGTGCACTTGTCGTGTTTGGTGCCTGTCCCTTAGAATGGTCTGAATTTCAAGGCGAGTGCTTGCATTTCAGCAGATCTGCTAGAGGCTGGGTTGACGCGGCAGTGAGTACATGTATAAGCTTTTAATTATCATGAGGGCTCCCGTGTGAAAATCCAAACTTAAGTATCTTGAGTAAAGCATTTAGTATTTTAAAGATAAAAAAGAGTTTAGAAACGCATATGTTTAGATGATCGGATGTATGCGATTAACCACAACCACATCTTTTTCCTCATGAAAATTCCAGATCTGAAAAACTTCCGTACATTGTACCCTTGTATTTTTTATTCTCCGTAGAAAGACTGCAGGAAAATGGGAGCCTACTTATTGACAGATGACAATGAAGATAAACATAATTTTGTTACCCAGGTCCTCACAGTTTTACACGGTCAGTATCTAGTAGTATTAAAAAGGGGGTTGGGGAGGAGCTCTTAGTGTACGATTATACCTGATTTTACAACGAAAGATAGGGATTTTTCGAAATGTTATTCATTAGTTCTTTGAATCCTGCATATCAGTAATAAGCATTGAGATTGACTTCCTAATTTCAGAATTTCGGGAGACAGCATTTTGGGCAGGCGCCGATGATTACATTTTTGAAGGTCAGTGGCGCTGGATGGAAACCGGAACCGCTATAGGGCCATATACAAAATGGGCTGCCGGGTATCCATCTAAAAACGAAACTACAAACTGCCTCGTTATGAAGTTTGTAGGAACCGACCTGTTTTGGATGGACGATAACTGTACCCCATACCACCACGGCAAAGAATATGGTGGAAACCATTATTACGTGTGTGAAAAACCGTGAGTACTTTATAGTTCTTTGTTCATATGACGTATCTGCATAGTTCAAAATACACAAGTATGCAAGGGGTACATTATTTGGACTACAAAAAATATGATTTCATGGTTAAGAAAACTCAGAGATTTTTAATTTATAATGAATTGTTTTTGATTTTGCTTTCAGATCCGACTCTGGTGGATCAAGCGTCATTGGCTGAGAGATAACTCTATATTATTCAATTATACTGAGCTAAAATGATTAATAAAAAAAAATACCTGTTCAGCCATTTTAACTTTTTGAAACTCAAGACACAGATCTATTCAATGAAAATTCTTTAGAAAAAGCATAAGAATATTGCTAAACATTCAGAATTTAGTCATTTGTGAAAATACGATAATCAAAATAATAGGCATAATATGTATTTTCTTGTCTCAACGAAACATCACTTAAAATGGGCCACCCAAATACTGCAATTGCATTTTAAATGTTGTAGGGACAAAGATGGCCGGCGATTGTGTCATTTTGAATATCAACATCTACAAGTAAGCAAAGGACTTAGCTTGTTCTTGTTGAATTATTTTGATTAATGACCAGACTCTTTCGATGTCTTGACATGTTGCGTTCAGATTTATAATGTCTGTCTGTATTTATTTGGACAGAAGGACAGGGAATCTACCATCTTGAAATAACAAACAGACGAGAGAACAGAATGATAGCCTGAAAGCAAAGTTTTAGTTTAGTAGACAAATGCTTTAACAAATGAAAAATAAATATTGTGTTTGGGACAAAAATAGATTGTCAATTTTGAGATTAATTTTGACTGCTTTGTTTTTGCAAGATAAATAAGGATGCTTTGTTGCATTGCATTGAAAAAAATTGTCTGATGGTAAAATCTGTGAGAAGTTCTGCTGTTCGTCTACCAGAACGCTGAAGATAAAATTTGAACTGACTCTCTCTCTCTCTCTCTCTCATTATTGACTTCTTTGACTTTAGAATTTTCTTTGAATTCTTTGAATTTAGAAATGAAGAAACATCAGAACAGTTTTAACAAAAACCGAAGATCATAGCAGAACTGGGCGTCAATAAAGTCAATATATGTATAAATATAATTAAATATACATCTGAGGAAATATAACAACGCATGGAGGGTTCACATACTAGGTTTGAAAGGGCCGAATTATTTCATAAGTAACGTAAACATAGATCACAGAAACCATGTAAGTCGGACAGGTTATAGAAAGCTGGACAGTTCCAGGCTCTGGGTCATTTGTACTGTATAGACAGATCTTAACATGAGTGATTGAGATATAGGTCATTATATGATAATATTTCGTGCCATAGAGGACAGGACATGATTCGACATCTTATTCTCATTTCAGCAGGTATTTAGTTTTTACATGTTTGATAATTTAATTAGCAAAATAAGAAATTTTGCATATCTTTTATATTTGTTCCAAGCAAAAATAAATAAAAATAAATGCAAAGACTGTGTACACCAGGTGGTACGAAATCATCTAGTGTCAAAATTTGAAGAACAAGTTCACCAAAATATATGTGAGCAGATACCGATACAGGGAAATTTTTCCCCGGGGTTTTATTTTCGCCACCTTTCACCCTCACAGCACGCAAGTGGGCGACTTTTAAACGGAACGAATTCAGGAAAGTTATCATTATCTCATTAACACGAATGTTGCTATGGAACGCCAAAGGGCTCAAAATTCCAACTGTATTTCTTAAAATGTACACAATTCAATCTTAATTTGTAAATTGTAAATCATAATTTCAGAATTTGTCAATTGTTCTATCACAATGTGTTCATTGTAACTATCCAATACAACATGACTAATGTGAAACGTAAATGCAAGTTAAATATGTCAATGTTCATGTGTGATTCGAAGACTTTGCGATTTGTCTACTGGCGAAATGTAAATTGTACTTTCGTGATTTGTAAATTATGCAAGGTTTACATGTATATATTGTAAGAATAACAGAGTTGGAATTTTTAACACGTTTGCTTTCCATATGTGTCTGGGAGAATTCAACACGGAGCAAAATTGTTCGCAAAATTAAAGGGTGAAATTAACACGGGGCGAAAATAACTCTTTCTGCAATAGTAACCTTAATCAGATTATTATCTTAGTCTCAGAAAAGTTTTTCCTCTTTTTCAGCTGTTGCCTGCACACTTTGTAACTGCCCCCTCGACTGGGCAGATTATGATGGAGAATGTATGTTTTTTGGTCATGATAGGAGGGACTATCTCGGTGCTCAGGTACTTAGCGTAAAAACAATTGGTATAGTATAGGAGATTTGAACAAGTACCAACTTCATGTGATATCCCAATGAAACTCTAATAAATGATATTTTAATTCTTACATTTATATGTTTTACATGACGTCACAATCCAGAAATCTTCAAATGTTTTGTGGGGTTTTGCTTTCCAGACGCGCAGGAAAGTCTGATCCCATGATCAACTTCATATTGAAAATTGACTGTCAATTTCGTTAGTATTGTCATTTAAGGAAACGCATTGGTACATGTAAATATATTCAAATCATTCATACGAGAGGAATGTATAATGGACATTTATTGCATGAAAAAAATATCCATGTTTCAGTTATTTTTCTCTGGAATAGTTGTCAAGCTAGATACATCTGTTTTATATTTGGATATACATTAATGGTAACCTAAAAACAAAACTTTATGATAAAGGTGATGACTTCAAATTTTCTATCGTCAACTTCCCTTACTTATGCAGCAATATACACTTATCACTTGCATATGGGGTTTACGACTCTCAGCTGATTCGAGGCGTAAGAACATGCTCTACGTACGAACAATTTCTAAGACGAGGCAAGCTACTGATAAACAAGTTGATAAAACAAGGATATCAACAGTTTCAGTTAAAGTCATATATAGCAAATTAATGACCTTCTCAATGTATCATTAAGTCAAATGCTGACTGACTTTTTTCATACTAATTGTTAGGCCATCATTTACACACTGAGTTGTCTACAGATTTTTCTGTTTTCCCTATCAGGACAAGGAGCACACGGAGGGTGTGCCGGTCGCCGGAGGATGCTCACTCCTCCATGACACCTGATCCCGCCTCCGATGTTTTTGAAGGCCCGTGTTTGCTATGCTCCCGAATTCTTTTGTTTAAATATGAGATTGAATACTGTTCCTTATCTCATTATTTCATCTATCATGATCAGAGAGAGCTAAATGAAATCTTTCCTTATTTATTGTAAAATCAGTTTCCGCAAAATATCCTACACGCTAAATATATATATATATATATATATATATATGTATATATATATATATATATATATATATATATATATATATATATATATATATATATATATATATATATAAGAATTATTTTTTGTTGATTTTGTGTCATTAGTGATTAACTACAATACTGACTATACTTTATTATTTCTATATTGTGCAGAGAGATTGTAAATCCAAGCAATCATATCTAGCAACAATTGACAATGCTGCAAAAGCCACCTTTGTACGACAAGTGGTCAGTGTAATGCACAGTAAGTATTTACAGAACGATTATTTTGATTAGCGTGTGTTCCGGTGTAGAATCATGCGTTTTAGATTTTGATCGGATTTACATGCAACGTCTAGATTCGCGTGCGTGAAGAATCGTTCATGTATAGGTTTTAATCGGCGTTAATCGCACGGAATCCTTCGTGTTATTTGATCGTGCGTGTATATCTTGTCAACAACAACGATACAGCCGTTGTAAAAAGCTAATTTTTTCCTGAGTCATTGTTGTCAACCTACCTGAATTTCATAGCCAATTCAATGGCACATCGTAAAATCAAGGTTATTCGTTTGATTCCATCCTCTCACAGATCATTTGTGTGCGTACGCTCTACGAAGTCCTGTTTTTTTTGGGACGATACAACATTATATAAACACATTTCTTTTCTACATGTGTATGTACGAGTTGAAGTTCGGCAGATGATTTAGCTACTCAAGTTTACTTCAGGAAGAAGATTTCAATAGAGTAAACAATTATTTACCTTTTTAGCTTTACACCTTTATTTATTCCTACTAATAAGGTAACCGTTTGTATCGTTATTGGACTGGGGCCTCAGATTTTGCTATTGAGGGCTCATGGAGATGGCTGGAAACCGGAGCGGCGGTAGGCCCCTACACTAATTGGGCTGACGGACGACCAACCAATAACGGGACATTCAACTGTATGATGATGGAATGGGTGGGAGACGATCTCAAGTGGGTAGATGTGGAGTGTAACCATAGAGACGTGACCTACATATGTGAAAAGCAGTAAGCTTTGACTATACTCATACATTATTTTTTCTTTAAAGACAAATTTTTTCATTGATACCGTTTTGCTTCGGCATCTCGAAATCCCTTTAAATTAATTGTGACCAGGAATATGTCTTATACTAAGTAAAATTGTAGAGCCATGCATATATCTAATATGAGGATAATTCTGAAGTGACTCGACAGTCGAAACCTTATTACATGTATCTACCGAGATTTAATTTTATCTGATATCAACTATAATCTTTTTTTTCAGAATGAGCAGTCCTTGAATGAATTGGATGTTTTTATACTACTTGAGGGGAATAAAAAAATGACATTCATTTCCACCCGAGTTTCCATTACATAGCTTCATGTGAAAAATATATATTAACACTTCACTTTCCAGATGGTAGTGTCTGCGTAGTTGCAACTTAAGTTTTTATACTTATTTGTACATGTAGTTAACACGAGGCCAATGGGCCACATCTCTCACCTGAGCACATTGACTAGGAAGACGCAGAAATCAGTTCAGTATTAAAATTGAACGCCGGGGGCAGGGGAGGGGGGGGGGGGGCAAACTTTAACTTACACTGCCTCAGGATGATTCTTTATCAATATTACTTCTCATGGCTTTGCTGTTCTTAAACACAGAATTTTAAAGATCATTTTCCCTATGTTTTCCTTTGAACTCTGATTTCTCATTGTGACCCACCCTACCCACCCTAAACTTGAACAAATTTGAATCTACACTACCTCAGAATGCTTCTATATTAACATGACTAATCACGACTTTGCTGTTCTTGAGCAGAAGATTTTTTCAAGATGATTCCTATATAATCTTATGCAAAACTTTGACCCTCTGTTGTGCCCTCCAACTCCCTGGGGGTCATAATTTGAACAAGCTAGATTCTACAATACCTAAGGTTGCTTCTGTATAAATATGACTGATAATGGCTTAGTTATTCTTGAGAAGATTTTAAAGATATTTCCTATGTAACGTGTATGATCAGGTTCTTACAAGGGATATATAGGTTTTCCTTTTACTCTGTCTGAGGTAATGAATGGAATGATTACTAAAACACCACTGTCTGAGGGTATATCACACAGTACTTAAATTTTCTCTCATCAAGAGACGTTAATGGGTAAGGTACTACTTGCACCGTGTTTCTCCCCTAGGTTCCCATTGATAGACTCATTCTTCTGCAGATTTACTACACCCAGAACCTATATTATCAATTCCATAGGATACATGCCACTTGTGTTTATATCTTTTATACTTTTATTTTGCTCATACTCTTAAGGTTTTCCATCCCTAATAAGACAAAATTTTCTATCCTTAAATGTCCATCACGTACAATATACTATAATATTAATTGGAAGTATTTTACTGTAGAAAAGGATTTACCAAGCGAAAGTTTAGATAACTAAGCAGTAATTAATTAGCTACATGTATTAACAAAGATTACATTGAAGTCTATGGGGACAAGCGATTTTTTAAAAAAAATAAAAATACAAACAATAAGAATATCAATTAATAATGTGGTGGAATGATGCATTAAGACATAAGAAATAGAATTGTTTTACCATATAATTTTTTTTAAATTCTAAAATTGTTTAAAATTATTTTTTTTATTAATTAAAATCAGAGGGAGATAACTCTTACCAAAATGCAAGGTCATAAATTAGGACACATCCAACCCTTACATCCTAATAGTAATAAATAGGAATTATTGTATTTCGTTATCTACCCCCCCCCACCCCCCCCCCCCCCCCATATTCATATCTGTATTTTGTTTTTTAGATTTCTAAGTAATTCCCGATGTTAATTAATTAATTAAAACACTAAAAGATAAAGAAAACTTCCATCAAGGACAATTTTCATTATAAATAAAGCAAAGTACAGTTCTCTTCCGATTTACTGGTATTAATACACAAAAAAGTCCATTATTATTATAAAGTAGTACAGACGAACAGTAATGTTTTGTTCCTCGAAAGACAAAAGTAGAATGTAGTTTAATATAGATGAAACAATATTTTTTGGCGATAAAGTACTTTTGATATTACATCTAAATTCTTGTCAAGCGATTTATTGCGATCTAGTTCTTATCTGTACAAGTCTAAGAGCATTGTAAAGTATACTGACCTGTTTGTGGAGGTTATGTTGTACATTACAATATTATGTCTGTCAAATGTGAATTCTCTATCAACGGGGTCAAGCGGTTGATAACATTACCAACAAGATGAAATCCTTGTGCTTTGTCTTTCTGATCATAGCAGGTTTGATCATCTTCATGATTCATAAGAATTTTTAAGTTGAGAGTACTTTTTTTAATCAAACTACTTCTTTTCAATTGCATGTTCATGAGTAGCCTTCAGTTCAAATGAAATATATGTAATACATGTACAAAATGTGTGTATCTGTTTCCTTTTCTTTGTCTTGATTTAAATACATGTTATGATATTTTGTTACATGAAGCTAAAACTAACTTCAGTAACAATCATTTTTTTAGTCAGTTGGTTTTATATACTCATTTATTTTTCATAATCATGAAAACCTCAAAGGTAATGCTACATAATTGAAACATCAATTTGATTTTTGTAACTATGGCGAAGGAGAAAAAAAATTGTTTTATGTGTTTATACTGAATTTATGAAATATGTAAATTTGTGTGAACCGGTTTGCCCTGTAGATTGGGCTGAATTCAGAGAAGAGTGTTTATTTTTGTTTATTACAGTGATTTCAGCAGTACTCTCGGTTTGCCCTGTAGACAGGGCTGAATTCAGAGGAGAGTGTTTATTTTTGTTTATTACAGTGATTTCAGCAGTACTCTCGGTTTGCCCTGTAGACTGGGCTGAATTCAGAGGAGAGTGTTTATTTTTTGGTCATGACAGACGATCATGGTTAGATGCAGAGGTATGTTTTTATAAATAAACTATATTTTAATTGTCTGTTTTAGCTCTATATCTTTCGTTTAACAGTCAGCAAGCCTGGTTCACTGATAGTCTTTCTTATACATGTAGTATAGAGAAGTAAATTTGCTTTGCCTCCCTACCCCTCACTACTATATATATATATATATATATATATATATATATATATATATATATATATATATATATATATATATATATATATATAATTATATATATAATCATTATCTTTTTATTATTATTATTTGAATATTTTTACCTTCAACAGACAATTTCATTTACCTGGTATACTGGGTATTCAAAAAAAAAAAAAAAAAAAAAAAAAAAAAAAAAAAACTTAGGTATTTTATCAAGCGATATATTAGCAGTATTTTAAGAGGGTAGCAACTTTCGGATGTGCATTAAAAGTTCGATTGTTTACATTGTTTGGGCTTGATTAAATGTAGAATTTATAAATTTGATCAATTGCCATTGTCTCTTTTAGGTAAAAATTATGAAAATTTTCAAACAAGCCATCAAATATTAACGAGATCTTTTTATGAGATTCAAGAGAACGGTTGTTCAATTTTGGCATGCTTGACAAACAATTTATTTGCGTTTATTGCATAAATTTATTACAGAGCCACTGTCGACAAATGCATGCGTATTTGGTGTCCGATGATAATGCAGACAAACACGATTTCATCTCCAAAATAACGAGTGTTCTTCATTGTATGTCGTCTACCATACTTTATTATATAAGCTCTGTATTTTGTGACTAAAACACACCTACAAGGATGCTGCTATACTGTAATTTACAGACATTTCAAACTTCACTGTGAACTAAAAATTAAGCCTTTAAAAAAGTTGAAATCGTTATGTCTTTTCAACATTCATGAAGTATATATTTCAAAACCGTTGTTAAGATAAGCAGTCTTTGATAATGATTTAAACAGTTTTTTCTTTTGATTGAAATAAAGCTTTTTACTCCATGCTTGTATCAAGACAATGCTTACTTTGCTATACGGGTGATGTACTATTTCTTTAACACTACTTTTATCATTTTAATAGCACTGCGCCAAAGCGCCTTCTGGATCGGCGCTAGCGACTACGCAGTTGAAGGGTCGTTCCGTTGGTTGGAGACGGGATACCCAATCGGGAACTTCTCAGCGTGGGGCGCTGGTAAACCCACAAGAAATGACACGAACAACTGCGTGCGCATGTTTTACAATGGGGACACGTTCAAATGGGAGGATTACAACTGTAATGATAGATACACGTACTTCATTTGCGAAAAACCGTGAGTATTTAAACATACACGGCTGGAAACAAAATATTGAATAATTAAGATTGTATTCAACGAGTGCTATAATCGCCCGCGTGGCGCAGTGGTTAGAGCGTCTGCTCTAGAGTCGCGGCGTAAGGAGTTGATCCTTACGTCGCGGGTTCGATTCCCACTGTGGGACGTGGAGACCGGTCCTTCGGTTGAGGCCGTATAAACCGTGTGCAATAGGTGTTGGCACGAAAAAGATCCCTCACTGCTCAATGGCCGTAAGTGCTGAGTATAGGACAAAATTTGCAGCTCTCCACCGGCAAGTGGTGGCGTCTCCATATGAGTGAAAAATTCTCGAGAGGGACGTTGAACAACATACAAACAAACGAACAACGAATGCTATATATCGTAAAGAAATAATTAATTTGTTTCATCATTACGCAGTTCAGAATGCTGAGATTTACTTCCGCCATTCGATCAATCCCTTTTTAGCTCACCTGAGCCGAAGGCTCTAGTGAGCTTTTCTGAAAGACAATTTGTCCGTTGTCTGTCGGCGTTGTCGTTGTAAACTTTTCACAATTTCATCTTCTTCTCCAGAACTACTGGACTAATTTGAACCAAACTTGGCACAGAGTATCCTTGGGTAAAGGGAATTCAAGTTTGTTTAAACGAAGGGCCATGCCCTCTTCAAAGGGGAGATAATTACAAATTAGTGAAAAATTAATGGCATCTTTTAAAAATCTTCTACTCAAGAACCACTAGGCCAGGAAAGATGAAACGTATATGGAATCATCCTCAGGTAGTGTAGATTCAAGTTTATTAAAATCATGACCCCAGGGGGTAGGGTGGGGCAACAATGGACTATCAAAGTTTTACATAGGAGTATATAGGAAAAAAAATTAAAAATGTTCTTCTTAAGAACAGCAAAGCCATAATTAGTCATATTTATATGGAAGCATCCTCAGGTGGTGTAGATTCAAGGTTGTTCAAATTATGACCCCCAAGGGTAGGGTGGACAATGGGGTGGGCGGAAATAAACGATCAAAGTTTTACATAGAAATATATATGAAAAATCTTCTCAAGAACAGCAAAGCCATTAACTATTCGGAAGCATCCTAAGGTAGTGTAGATTCATATTTGATAAAAATCATGAAACCCCCCTCCCCCCCCCCCCCCCTTGGGTATAGGGTGGGGTCACAATTGATGATTAAAGTTATGCATAGGAATACATAGGACCTTTTCTTTAAAAAAATCTTGTTCTCAAGAAGAGCATAGAAGAAGCATCCTCAGATTGTGTAGATTCAGATTTGTTCAAATCATAACCCCCGGGGGTATGGTGGGACCATAATGAAAGTTTAAACTTGTAGGGAAAAAAGTCACAGTTAGTCAGGAGAAATATGTAAGCATCTTTAGTTAGTGTAGATTCAATTTTGTTCAAATCACACCCCCCCCCCCTTTTCAGGAGTAGGTCGGGACCACTTATGCATTAAAGCTTTTCAATACTGAACTGATTTCTACTTTTTTTTCCTAGCCACAGTGCTCAGGTGAGCGATGTGGCCCAATGGCCTCTTGTTAGGTTTTGAAATACAATGTACAGTGTATTGTAAAAAGAGGTTCTTCTATGTAGGTTATTTTTCAATTAACAAACCCTGCATTGTACTCAAAAATTAAAACTGGTATTTTCTTTTTGATCCATCTGTAGCTTTCATTGTTTTTGAAAATTAATTTTAGTGTGTTTTCTTTTTTATTTAGAGCGGAAGGTGGAGGTTCTGCCACAACTGAAAAAACTCTTGTTATTGGAAAATGAGAAGGAAATAAAAGGGAAAAAAGAAAAAAAAAATATGCGTGTTCAATTTTAAACTCAACTAATTATTACTTGATATTTTCAGGTATAGAATGATGTTAAATACCAGTTCTTTTATTTCATAGTTATAAAATAAAGTATTTGATAATTAGTACAAGTTTGATAGTTGGTGATATTACAATGAATTTAAAAAGAAAAATGAAAGTGAAATCTATGTATACATTATTCACCCTAAGTTGTTTGTTTGCCTACTTGTTACTCGTACTTGGGTATAAAGCAAAAAATCGTACGTCTGCTTCATAAAACAAAACGCAGCTTTTGTGAAAAATTCATGCAGGTTGCATGCATCATTTAATAAAATGAAAATAAAAAATAAAAAAGACGAATGATGAACCTGATAATATTTTCATATTCCATTTGATGCCTGAAGTGTCCATAAATAACTTATAATTACATGTAATGAAGTGATCTAATATCAACTCATTTTTTAAACATTTAAATAGATTAAAGGAAAGTTGCTCATTACTAACACTTCCTAGAGAATTTTTGAAGGTAAAATTTCGAATTTCCAATTAAAATTTACCTGTATAGTTGAAAGAATAAGCTACACACCTGAGAAATATTTTTCCCCATATCGTGTCGCAACATATTATCCCTAAAAATCGTTTTAAATTTATAGGTACATTTCATCAGTTCCATAAAAGCTTTCATCAATGCTTCATCAAATTCAAATCTCTAAACGACCACATTTTCCTTTGAAGTTGGAACGCAAATCGCATACGATTTTTATGGAAAAGAAATAAGAAAGGCTTCCTATGAGAAAATGTATACGGTACAGTCTAATAACATCCTAGCCTGAACAAATTATTGTTCTACACATTATTTTTATAGAATTCATTTTTAAGAAAAGAAAATACTATCTAGATTTCTAATTCAAAAATAATGTTATTGCCATGAATTCAACTTTGCGTACGATAATGTTATCCATTATAAACACTGAAGGGGTGTACAATGATTTATGTTAAGCTCGAACTTTCTTTATCGCCAAGAAGATGCCAAAAAGCAAGTTTCTGACCTTGATAAAACAATTAATTGAAACGGAATAAGTTAAAGGTATACGTAAAGGAAATGTTGAATTGATCAAACAATTATTCAATTACCCAGCATTTAATAATGCTGAAAAATCAAAAAAAAAAAAAAAAAAAAAAAAAAAAAAAAAAAAAATTCTGTATGTTGTGATTGCAATTCGTCAAGATGTCTTCAAACCATTAATTCAATAATATCCTTTTCGTTGAGGTCAAATAGTGATTTCAAGGCAAGATGATGGAAGATAGAGACATCGATTTTTGTTCAAATCATTTTTAACAAATGATATACGACTCGACAAATCGATGTTCCCTTGAACAACGCTAAGATTGAACATTCTATAAAATATTTGGTTGCCTTTTTTAAGAAGAAAAAAAAACCATTTACTCATATATTTATATTCAATTGGCAATTAATTTATGTTTTCTGTTTTACTTTTACCATTTGTTTTAGTTTGAAGACAAGATAAATTCAATGGTAGCTGTAGTCATGTCCTACGAAATATAAAAAGCGCTCAAGTTTCATCAAATATGTCCATAAAATATGATTGACTTCAATTAATCATCACTTTTTCGATTAACAAAGTTATCAGACATTTCTTTATGTAAGTACCTGACAACATTTATAATATCTGGAATCATTATCAATAGAAATACGAAACTAAATATGAATACACCGGAACTTCCTATCGCAATTGCGCTCGGGCGCGGATCGTGCACACTGATCAAACTTCTCAGATATGCATTTGTTCTTTTTCTACTAATGATTAATTCTTTCTTGATTCTAGCAATCCATCCGTTAAGAGTTTGGTTGTTGATGCTACTCCCTCCGTTGTTTGTCGAATCTGGAGACGATAAACAATAGACAATGCAAACAAAACCTTTTTTTTCATATACAAAAGTGTTCTGATTTTGATGCAACAAGTGCAACAATATATAGAGATACTCCAGTACTAATATAGGTTGGATTACTGATACTTTTGCGGTATTTTTTATCATTTATTATTTGTATATATTACAGAAAATTGCCAATATAGAAATATTTGTAAAAGATAAGTATAGCGTTACATGTACCTGCACACTGGAAAGTCGTGGGAGACCACGTCCCAGACGTACATTTAATTTCATTATCAGAACTTGTTGCACTAAAGCCATAGTGACAAGCGTATATAGCCACGTTATCATTCACCAGGACATCAGCACTAGTGATGTTTGGTGCTGGCCCACAGGATGCTTAAAGTATAAATAGGCGAATCAACGTTGACCAGTCTCAAATATTCTATAAGCAGTAATTCGTGAACAGGGTAAAAGCTTGGATGTCTGAAAACACCACAATTTTGATTAGATACCTATGATGAATAAGCATCCTCTTAGTTTATTTTAAATACATTTATGCAGTTTGACTTAATTTTTTAAGAGATTCCTTAATACAACGCTTTGGAATCCTTTTTCTGCATTTTCCATTTCTTACATCTACTTAAGTACTGTTTCAACTTTCATTCATAATGGGTCGATTTTAAGAGCTAGTTTTTTAATTAATATATTTTTAAATCGTAAATGGAGAAAAAAAGGGGATAACACCAATGTTAATAATGTAGAAACTTATAGTGGCGAAATTTATTGAGCATTTCCAGGAAGAAACTGCGTCTTTCACTCAATCGGATAGTAATTCCTTTTGACGGTCAACTAGTCAATTAAAGTTCCTTCCTCTGAATTAAGATGGAGGTCAAATTATGGGATTTCTGATGTCAATGTCAGGTTTAGGAAGTTGGTCGAATGACAGATCCTCCAGTCAGTTACCTTTCAGTAAATTGTCAGTCACATTTCAGGTAAATTAATGGCATATCTTTATTCTGTGATGCAAGTTTTATCAGAGGTTGAATGTTTCAGTAACTCTTGTTACATGTAAATAAACAAAATATGTTTGTGAAACATCGATGCCCCCGAAGGGGTCAAAGGTAAAGTTTTACAAATGCTGGTCCAGCTTTCAGGTCAAGGTCAAGAGTTCAAAAATGTTGGTACCCAAGACATAAACACGTGAAATATGAAAGCCCTGGTTCTAACCATTCAGAAAATATGGCTAAGGTAAATGTATTCTAAAAACTGGTCAAAATCAAAGGTCAAGTGTACAAAATGTTTTCATCGAAATAAGGGTCTTGTCACAAGGAACACTCGTGAAATATGAAAGTCGGCGATATGGCAAGGGTAAATGGTTTTCAAAATGCGGTTATTTTCCAAAGACAAGGTCACAATTAAAAAAAAATATTGGCAACAAAGGAACATATTGTCACAAGGAAAGTGCGATGTAAATTAAAGCCCTTGCACTGACTTTTCAAATGTTATAGCTAAGGGTTAAGTTCTTTTAATAGAAGGTCAATCTTAAAGGTCAAGGTTAGTTCGTCTTATCTGGATTTAAAAGCAAAATGTATATTATTAAAAAAGGCTATATTTATCATTTTATAGCATAGTTCCCGGTTGAAAAAAAGCTGTATTATAGTTAAAAAGAAAAAAAAATAGATCGAAAAATCAAAAAAAAAAAAAAGTCAAACATAGATTCTGATCTTCTTACCAAGGCAGGAAAACGTCGTTGTTTGCCACACAGATTGCGAACAGTTGATTAAACTACTTCCGCTTTGTGGAATATAACCACCTTGACAGGAATATATAGCAATATTATTCAAAACCATCAAATCAGCATTTGGAATGGAAGGCGGTGATGCACATATCTCTAAATTAAATGAACATCATTATTTAGTTCTCAACACAGGCAAAAAATTGTCATTGAAAATAAATGTGTATCATATTTTTGTTGTTTAAACATCTATAATCTCATTTGTTCGCAGTCCATTATTTGGTAAACTATGCCTTTAGTATCTTCTTAGTAAAGATATCTAAGATTGACTTGAGTTACTTAAGATCAGGGCCCAGTTCTACAAAAGAACTTACAACTGCACCAGAACATGTCTAAGCAAATAATTTCCTCTTTATATTATTAAACAAGAGGCCCATGGGCCACATCGCTCACCTGAGCACACTGGCTAGACTAAGGCACAAATCAGTTCAGTAATGAAAGGGGGGGGGGGGCTTGAATTTTAAACTACCTGATGATGATGCTTTCATGTCAATATAACAAATGAATTTGTTGTACTTGAGAAGATTTTAAAAGAATTTTCCCATTTATTCCTTTGTAAAAATTTGATCCCCCATTGTAGCGCCTCCCTATCTCAGGGGTCATCATTTGAACAAACTTGAATCTACATTACCCGAGGATGCTTCCATATCAATAAGACTAACATAGCTTTTCTGTTCTTGAGAAGAAATTTTTTTTTTCTATATGTTCTTATGTAAAACTTTCGATCCCCCATTGGACCCCACCCTACCCCCGGGGGTCATCATTTGAACAAAATTGAATCTACACTACCTGAGGATGCTTCCATATAAATTTGACTCATCATGGCTTTGCTGTTCTTGAGAAGAAGATTTTTCCTATATATTTCTATGTAAAACTTTGATCCTCCATTGTGGCCCCGCCCTTTCCCCCGGGAGCCATGATTTGAACAAAATTGAATCTACACTTCCTGAGGATGCTTCCATATAAATATGACTCTTCATGGCTTTACTGTTCTTGAAAAGAAGATTTTTAAAGATTTTTCCTATATATTTCTAAGTAAAATTTGGATCCTCCATTGTGGCCCCGCCCTACCCCGGGGGGTCATGATTTGAACAAACTTGAATCTACACTACCTGAGGATGCTTCCATATAAATATGACTCTTCATGGCTTTACTGTTCTTGAGAAGAAGATTTTTAAAGATTTTCCTATATATTTCTATGTAAAATTTTGATCCTCCATTGTGGCCCCGCTCTACCCCCGGGGGTCATGATTTGAACAAAATTGAATCTACACTTCCTGAGGATGCTTCCATATATATATGGTTCTTCATGGCTTTACTGTTCTTGAAAAGAAGATTTTTAAAGATTTTTCCTATATATTTCTATGTAAAACTTTGATCCTCCATTGTGGCCCCGCCCTACCCCCGGGGGTCATGATTTGAACAAACTTGAATCTACACTACCTGAGAATGCTTCCATAAAAATATGACTCTTCATGGCTTTACTGTTCTTAAGAAGAAGATTTTTAAAGATTTTTCCTATATATTTCTATGTAAAACTTTGATCCTCCATTGTGGCCCCGCCCTACCCCCGGGGGTCATGATTTGAACAAAATTGAATCTACACTTCCTGAGGATGCTTCCATATAAATATGGCTCTTCATGGCTTTACTGTTCTTGAAAAGAAGATTTTTAAAGATTTTTCCTATATATTTCTATGTAAAACTTTGATCCTCCATTGTGGCCCTGCCCTACCCCCGGGGTCATGATTTGAACAAACTTGAATCTACACATCCTGAGGATGCATCCATATAAATATGACTCTTCATGGCTTTACTGTTCTTGAGAAGAAGATTTTTAAAGATTTTTCCTATATATTTCTATGTAAAACTTTGATCCTCCATTGTGGCCCCGCCCTACCCCCGGGGGTCATGATTTGAACAAACTTGAATCTACACTACCTGGGGATGCTTCCATATGAGTTTCATCTTTCCTGGCCCTGTGGTTCTTGAGAAGAAGATTTTTTAAAGATGCTATTCATTTTTCACTAATTCTTAATTATCTCCCCTTGAAAGAGGGCGTGGCCCTTCATTTGAACAAACTTGAATCCCCTTCACCCAAGGATGCTTTGTGGCAAGTTTGGTTGAAATTGGCCCAGTGGTTCTGGAGAAGAAATCGAAAATGTGAAAAGTTTACAGACAGACGGACAGACGGACTACAGACAAAATGTGATCAGAAAAGCTCACTTGAGCTTTCAGCTCAGGTGAGCTAAAAAGCTTATAATTCTATTCTTTAAGAATTGGAAAAATTGTTGTAGAGAATAATTTAAATTAAAAAGATATTAGGTGGTGAAAAATTAATTGAAAGTCTCAACCAGGGCTTGAACTGGCATACCTTATAGAATCACTGATAGTACATGTACATGTATCAATTCTATTACTAAAGTTTTAAGCAAGGAATTATAAGAAACCAAAAAAAAAAAAAAAAAAAAAAAAAAAAAAGAATTAGGAAAAATATTGACTTCATTGTCTAATAGTTGGTATACCTTCACAAAACATTGTGCTTGACGTCCAGGACCCGTCAATACAGGTTATGATGACGTCATATGAGCTTTGATAGTAGCCAGGCATGCATGAGTACATCGCAGCACTCCCATTACTTACTCCCTTATTGATTTTATAGGCGTTGGCTAAATCTGGTGGATCCGGACAATCTAAAAGAAGAAATGATTAAATTTATGTAGATTTATATAGAATATTGTATACAAAATGAAATAAAGATTTCAACAGGACGAAGGAAGATATTACGTTATTTTTTTCCTTTTTAGTAACTTCTAATGTCTCGAAGTGATAAATAAGGCACAAGCCTTTAATTCTGCCTAGGAACTAAACTTTTAAACCCATTCCCAAAGTCTATTATTTAAACCTTGCAAACAGAAGAGCCTGGCAATGTTCAAAATGCAATTTTCAAATCATTTGTTATTTCTTATTGCCGAATGATCATTTTACAAGTAAATATTTAATAAGCAATTTTCTTTTCAAAAGGAAATCAATTATAATACCAGTAGGTGTACACGTAGTTTTTAAAGTCGTCCAGTCCGCTGAACATTGATTAGTTCCGGTGCAAGGGGATCCTTCAAAGAAAATGAAATCATAAAGAGAATTATAGATCATTGAGCTACTGGGAATGGAATAGAGACGCAAAAAGTATTGAACTTTCGCCACACAGTACCTCCTCCCCCAAGTAATTGTTATGACACATAACGAAAGATAAATATCTTTAAAACCAAATCTGATAATTATACACACTAAAAACATTCTGTATATCTTTTTGAATTTTTATATTTAAAACTTCTATAAAAAAAAGAACATACCAGTTAATTCGGCTACTTTCACCGTCACTTCAACACTTGTATCTTGTTGATTATTATTTCCGCCACCCCATTGTCCACCAACATAAACAAGGTATCCATTAGACGTTGCTATGCCTGGTCTCCATAGCAACACTTCCGTTTCAGTGTATCCGTATATGATGGCGCCATATGGGTCTGCAGAATTGTCAATCATAGCGCTACCCCCAGCATAAAACACGTACCCAGCGTTGTTTGATGTAAAAACTTTCATCTGAATGAAATTTATTGAAGATATGTCACGAGGATTTTTGAACAGATGTGCGGTTCAGTATAGCGGAAATAGCTAGTAACTGTTCAAAATCTACAATGTTTTCATCAAACATGTATATATACTTTAAGGAAGGTACCCTTGACTAAGAATAGTATATATCCTACAACATGAAATGTACACACTAACTAAAAAGTATTAAAATTAAATATGGTAAAATTAAGTTCTTATGGTCTCCATAGTGTATGCTCTGATTCTTTGATCAATACATTACTTTGATATAATATGATACATTGAAACTGTGATATAAAATCTTGATTGACTATTCAGGGGTGTGCAATTACCATCGCCCGACGCCCGGGGCTACCAATTTTAGAGGTCGGGCTATCATAAATCTATACTGTGTTAGCCCGTCGGGCTAGTAAATTTAAAACGAAAGTATGAGTATATTTACGTCGACTGAATTGATGTACGAATTAACTTTATTGTAAAATCATAATCTTAAATTCGTTTTAACCTATATGTATTGTGTGTTGCTATCGCCAGTTGTTTCAGTGACAAATATAGTCGATAAAAATAGGGAGAAGTACCTGACAATAACAAGCGCAAACCAATATTTGTTTTATTCATTTCAACTTAAATGTTTTTTTTTTTTACCTTTTTGTAATACTTATACATGTATTGTTTTCGGTAGTTAATGGGCTAGTGACTGGCAACCTCGGGCTAGTAACTTGCCTACTGCCACTAGCCCGACGGGCTAGTAACTAATTTTTGTAATTGCACACCCCTGCTGACTATGATACTTTTACTTTTAGGAGAATTAAAGTATTTTTATCAGTGACATTTTAGAAACGACTTTTGAATATCAATTAAAGTAATATTTCAGTCTAATAACTATATGATGTATTTAAAAATAAGACGAATTAAAACAATTTATTTTCCAATTCATAGAAAAAAAACATTTATTTACTTTTGAAAAAAAAAAGATCATTATACATGTATACAGTAATTACTTTGATTTACAGTAGTATAACTTTGGTATTTGGATGAACTAACCTGACAACTTTATTATAATCAAAGTAAACTATAGTTATTCTTAGTAAACTTTCGTCAATTGTGGTTTAAGTAAATGGAGTTTCATTTTTAAAGTGAGTACTAAATAAACCTTATCTGATGTCGTCAAAGTTTTTGACTTTGACAGACTTTGACAAAGTATACTCCGTCCTTTTTTTTTAAATTTGTCCAGCCTGTAGGTTTTCGTCTTTAAAAAAAAAACATCAAATTTCAAAGAGGGCAGTGAGTGCTAAAATGTTGAATCTTCAAATAGTCTCATCAACTGACCTGAACAGAAACTAACGTTGTGTCTAAGCTATAAACTGAATCTAGTGTCACGCGGTCCACTGTCGGTGACGAAGGATCTGCGTTGTTTTTATCCATGACGAAAGAGTTAGAGAAATGTTTATTACAGGAGTCCAGTATCCAGGCCTGTATAAAGAGGTCAGCAGAGGAACTCTGTAATTCTTCTGTCCCCCACCCATCACGTGCACATGCCACATAGTTTTCTGAAATGAGCAATTCATCTACATTTTATGGTGGCATACTGTTCCTTTATGCAAGTTATTTTTCTATTGATTATGTCATCATGCAAAATAATAATGCCAATATGGAACATAAACACTGAATTGTCGACGGATTTTTCCGTTATTTCCCGATCATGACAAGGAGCACACGGCGGGTGTGACCGGTCGGCAGGGGATGCTCACTCCTCCATGGCACCTGATCCCACCTCTGATGTTTGGAGGTCCGTGTTTGCTCTGCTCCTATTTTGTATTGTATAATGGACTTTTGAGCTTGAATACTGTTCGTTATCTCCATATATTTCATATATCAACAAGTAACATTACTATCTTGACATGCAAGAGAAATGTTATCAATTAACAATTTGGAAAATATTCCCAATTATCAAACATCGCCCAAATGTGACTTCCAACACCCTACATGTAGCTACTAGTTTTTTCTATAACCTGATCAGCATATCCAATCTATCACAAGGTCAAATGCTGACTGACGTTTTTCATATATAAATTGTTGGGCCATTATTTACACACTGAAATTTCTAAGGATTCTTCCGTTTACCCGATCATGACAATGATCACTCGGCGGAGGTGACCGGTCAACCGGGGATGCTTACTCCCCCATAGCACCTGATCCCACCTCTGATGTTCTTGGAGGCCCGTGTTTGCTCTGCTCCCGACCTGTACCGTTTAAATGGACTATGAGCTTTGTACTGTTCGTTATCCCCATATTTCATGTTGACATGCAACTTATTTATGTTGACATGCAAATTACTTACATTTACATGCAAAATTCATTTAGTATATTGATATACAGCATATTCATATCGATATAAAACTTATTGGTATCGATATACAACTTATTTATGTCGGCATGCAACTTATTTATGTCGGCATGCAACTTATTTATGTCGGCATGCTAGATTAATATGATAAGATTAATATATCTCTATATATTTCATGTTGTCCTGCAACTTATTTCTATCGATATGCAACTTATTTATTTTGACATGCAAATCATGTATCTTAACATGCAACTTATATATGTTGTCCTACAATATCATAATGCACACATACTGTAGCATAAACCCTGGTCATGGTTATAAAGCAAAGAAACTAAGTGCATATTAATTAGCAAGGGTTCTCACAAAATTGTGAGTTTTATGGCCCATGGGAAAGGATATTTAGGGTCTTAGGATTGGACTCTTTCGAATATTTATTGTGAAAATAAATTAATTTGATGGGAGTCTTTTCAACTAAATGTTGAAGTGAAAATAAGCAGGGGTAATTCTATCAAATTTGTGAATTTCATGACCCTGGGTATTAGGGCAGGGTTGTGCTGAATCTTAGTGAAAATGCCTTATGACAATGATTTTTTCAGCTTTTGGGCATCTAGAAGCCAAACAGAAAAAAATGTAATAATCAAGTATATCTTTATTGTATTTTTGAAATTCTGGACCACCTATCTGTTGATATATTTATGTTGCATGTTGACATAATTATTTTACATGTTAACATAATCTATCGAAAGGTAATTTGCTTATAGGGGACAGAAATATGCCACCAAAATATTTAATACATTGTTATCTAAAAACTTGTAAAAGTAATTTGATGTCTTAACGTTTTCAATTTGCTAGCCTTTAATAGAATATAGTAATTTATTGCAAAAAATGTTTGAAAAGGCCCCCTGTAAAAAAAAATGCATGTATTCGATTACTTTTTTTTTGTTTTTCTCAGCATTTTTTTGTAAGGAAACTATGATGTTTGTGTTTTTTGATGTTCATTGGAAGTTTAAAATTGAAACTGCAAGGTAATAATACAATTTTAAACTTAAATTTTATTGCTAATTAAGTCAAGTGCTAAGAGAGAGAGAGAGAGAGAGAGAGAGAGAGAGAGAGAGAGAGAGAGAGATTCTCTGAATATAGGTCTAGATCACAACTCAACAGCTTATAAAAAGGTATTTTAAATAAGCATAATTCAAAATTCAAGAACCTTTTGAATGTGTTAATCAAAATGGATAATTACAATTCCACCCTCACATAAAAAAATGTTAATGAATGTTTCATCAATTTTAGTGTTTTTCATTTTGCTTTGGAAAGCAAATTGATAAATAAGGAATGAGAGAGTCTTTTGTGACGCACTTCGGAGCAGATGTTAAGTTAATTTAAAGTAAATAGAAGACCACCTCTGGTAAGAGAATAATGAGGAAATGGGCTTAAGAATGCATATCCATATCATTCATTCCTGCTTGACAATTACGTCAATTAGGTAATATTTTCAATGTCTTGTTCTCGTTGAATGTGTACATTTGAATTTAGTATGTATAGTTATTGTGATGTGTCATTTGTGTAAAAACCCAAAGCATGTTGTAAATTTCTATAAAGAAAATAAAAAAGAATACAAACAGAACTTTTCTTCAAAGGTTATTATAGATAATTGTCTGATACGTACACTTATTTTGTTTAATTACAGGTACATATAAACGTTATTTAAAACGATATTTGCAGTTTTTTAACCAAAAAAAATCTTTATCATGGGAAAGTTTTGAATTCATTATTCATAATACATTCAATTTTGTGTTACCAGCATGGAAAATAACGAAAATAAAATATTCAGTAGGAATGCCATCCACTACCAGCATCACTTCTATTCTGTTTTTACTTCATTCTACGCTCTATAAAATTTGAAACGCATGTATTGAAAATTTAGAGAACTTAATTAATAATACATTATTTTGTCTTTTTTGTCTTCTAAAGGTAAATGATACCAACTTTTGCCAAGCATACTTATTACAAGAATGGATAGAAGTCAATATTTATAAAAGATAGAAGTAAAGTTTAACACATCATCAAGCCTTGAGCTTTAATCAAGAATAGGAAGGTGCTTTTTTCCTATATGCAGTGAATGATTGCCCTTCTCCAATATATTGGTGATGACCTATAAAAAGGAAGAATTACCCCCCCCCCCAAAAAAAAAAAAAAACTGATAAAAACAAAAACAAAATAGAATGATATACCCAAAACAGTGTGTTTGTCCCCTTCCTATGAAAGTATCCTTTCTTAATTTGTTCTTTCTACGCTTCTCCTAATAAAAAAAATAGTAGCACTATTTGCTAAAGTGAAAAGAAAATTAACTGCCCCAGTACAATTTTTTATAAAGAAGTAATCGGACAATTTGTTTGAAAAATAGTATATCGAATGTAAGATCTGTTGACACCTTCAAGAACAAGACATTGTTCTCCCTTAGCACATAAAATAGTTTGAGGTATTTTACTACAAACACAAATAAAACAAGTTCGTTTTGGAAAAAGAGGGGCTTCAGTTTCAGAAGTGGAATGCTTCTATACATGTAAAGAAAACTTTGAATAACAGAATAAAGGATATGCAAGAGATAATGCCTCTTTACACCAAGAACGTATACAAAAGTCTTGGGGATGCTTTCTAACAGTCATGTGAAGTATGTTACATCTAGCATATATTTTAAAAACCTATTACGGGTTAATGTTTGAAAATTTTCCATTACCGAGAATTAAAGACTTATCTGAACCAAACTTGCATTGATGTTGCATTTAGGGATGTACATATATACATTGTTAGACTAAAAGATCAAAGAAAAAGTGTTGGTTGTCATTTTTGCCGTCATTGTTACATAAATAATTTACATGTTTATCGTTCAAAAGTATAGCTAAGCTGATTTTCTATTAAGACAAAATGATATGGTATGCTTTCATTGTGCAACTCCATGGCTTTAAATTTCTCTAAAAAATATAATCCTTTTCGAAATTCGTTTTTTTTTTTTTTTTTGCTTTAAATTGTTGATTTCATTGTACAAATTAAAGTGTCGGATCTTAATTTTGATTGAGTATCGAGATCGTCCTCTTGAATTTCTGGTGTTGACATAAAGAACTTTTGTTAATTGTTTTCATGTGAAAAATTAGGTTTCTTGTAAATACGCTCCAATACGTAAAAAATAAATTATTATTTATTATAAATAAATAAATAATATAATATATATTATTAAATAATATAATTATAAAGAAGTAAATACCGGTAATATAATATATATTATTAAAAAACTGAAGGAATACGTTTAAATGAATATTTTCAAGTCTTTGAAAGTAATGAATATACCTTTAAGTTAAAAAAATATACAGGTAGATGAGTTACTATATATTTAAACAATACAGAGCATTTGCGCAATAAATGTAGTAAAACCAGTCTTACATGTACAGGGAAAAACATGCTTATAAAAAAAGAAGAAGATTTTTCGCTCTGTACATGACTGTTTAAAGCACACAGGGTGAATAAAATTTACATATATAAAAGCGATGGTAGCTGTCTATTAATTCTAACTGTAATATTCCCTACAGAATGAGGATAAGTGGTAAATGAAAAATTAAATAAACTTAATTTCACAACAATATGATAATCAAATAAAATACAGATATTTCATTCTCAGAAGGGGGAGAAAAATGAAGACAATGGGATGATATAAAATGCAAAAAATGAATTTCTTTTACTCAAGTTAATGAAAAGATATTATATTATCAAAAAAAAAATTAATTACATGTTTAATAGAATATAGAATAAAGAAAAAATCACCAAACCTGATCCAGATATTGACCAGAGACGAATGTTTTGGTCGTTGAATGCAAAAACCGTCCCACAAATTGACTGATAAACCTCAGAATTTGAATTGAATGTCACACCTAAGGCGTTGAAAGTAATACACTTTAATTAACACACAAAACATTGTCAATAAAATTGAATTATGATAAAAATCTAGTTACTGCTTATCAATCTTTATTTTTACCTCTTAAAAATGTTCTACGATATAAGAAAAAATTAGTTTTATTTTTATTGC